TGGGCCCATAGAGGATCTTGCGAATTGGCGCATTAAACAGAACTTCACTGCGTTCAAACTCGCTTGCCCAGCTACGGCAAGACACCTGGATAGGCGGTGCCGACGCCCGAGGTCTGCCCGCAGCTTCCAGACGGCCGAGACCAGATTCATCATAATCTCCTTGAGCAACGTTCATAAGCCGGCTCAGGATACCTTCATCAGTAATTTCCGCGAGAGGCTTTCGGTTCTGTCGAGCACAGATCTGGAACAGAGCATGAGCTGGAGTAAAGTTTGCATCCTCAGTATCACTATAAGCCACGTTCATGTATCCAAGTCTGTCGCGTTTCTGAAGCTCCTTGGCGGCTCGGACGATCAGGCTTTGGTGGGTGGCCTGGTAAGCTTCATTGGGAGATGTATCCGCGAATCTGAGCCATGAGAATGCCTTTGACCCCTCACTGCTGTCCCGGATATTGTCTGGGCTCCAGATATTCATCAGATGGTTCAGTGTTCGGTTCTTCCAGCCTGTAACCTGACTATCTGGGCCAGCCTTGTGAATTCGACCTCCGTCCCTCCAAACAAGACGAGGAAGCTCATACTCGATCAGATTTCGGCTTGAATAACCAACAGCAACATCGTTGCCCTCGCGAACGAAGGATGCAGTCTCGGCAAAGTAGGCACAAGCGAATGGGGAATTGACCTCAGCGCGTTCGAACAAATCAGGATGGTTACAGACCTTTCGGAACTGCATAACCAAGTTCATGAGTGTACCAGAATCTTGTTCATCTCCCATTGTGGCCTTCTCAACGAGATCCATGATGTTGATCTGGTTTCGTAGATTGCTGTAGTAGGCACGCTGTCGGTAGGTGAGGTCACAGAAGATGTCAAGCTCGATCTTGTCACCGAGTTCCTTCTGCACATGCTTCTTGACACGCCGAAGCATGAAAGGCTTGAGAATCATGTGAAGACGTTTCAGCTGATCTTCATTAAGCTTAGTGTTACTTTGTGCGTGCGACTCAATATCCTTGGAGAACCATTCACTGAACTCGTCGTGTGAATCGAACAGTGACGGCATGATGAAATGAAGCAGAGCCCAAAGTTCTTGCATGTTGTTCTGGATGGGTGTTCCGGTGAGAAGCAATCTGTTTCGACAGTGGAAGTTGAGCAGTGCCTTCCATCGCGAACTCTGTGAGCTCTTGATGGCCTGGGCTTCATCCAGGATCATGTACTGCCATCGCATCTTTTGGAAGTATGCCACATCCGAGACAACCAACTGGTACGAGGTAATACACACGTGGAAGGGCGCATCCTTTCGGTATGTAGTATGTTTGCGATCCCAGAACTTTCGGAGAACCTTTCGGTCGCTCGCACCTCCCCAGTAGGGGAGAATCTTGAACTCGGGAACAAACTTGGCGATCTCCTGCTGCCAGTTGTGAAGTGTCGAAGCAGGCGCAACAACGAGGAAGGGGCCCCAAATATCGTGCTTCTCTGCAAGGTAAGCCATGACGGAAATGGACTGGACAGTCTTTCCGAGACCCATTTCGTCTGCCAAAATACCGTTGATACCCTGCTCGTACAGATTGACGAGCCAGTTGAGGCCCTTCAGCTGGTATTCCTTGAGTTGAGCATTGATGAGTTTGGGCTGCTCGATTTCAACATCGCCAAGACCTGTAGGGTTTTGGAAGTTCATCTCGCCCTCATCATCCATGTCCAAGCCTTGGTTGTTGAAGTCGCGAGCCTTCTTCTGGGCCTCTGCAATGGCGTTCTGAGCGTTGGCCATGGCAGCAGCACGGAGAGCCTCATCACTACCTTCTTCGAAATCGAGGTTCTCAAAGTTAGTGACCTTGCCGATAACAGGGCCAGTAGGCTCGTCAATGTCAAGCATCTTCTGGTCGGCATGATGGGCATCCTTGGCGACGTCGGGGTTGTCTGTACTTCGTTCCACCTCGTCGGTCTTGATCTTCTTGCCGATAAAGTGGGAGTATAGCTCGGTCTGAGAGATAAGGAAATTAAGCTTTCTCTTTTGACGAGCGGCTTCACGGTCGGCTTCTTCTTTGCGAGCGTTTTCGATCTCCTGCTTTTCGGCAGCTTTGCGCAAGTCTCGCTCCTCTCGCTCGTTGCGCTTCCAAAAGCCCATCATATCACGCATGACACGTTTCGCGCGAGCTTGAAGATCCTTGGTGCCTTTGTTTGTTCGCAGTTGCCATCGCTTGGCCTCTTTCGATGCCAGAATGGCTGTTTTCTTGAGATTCGATGCCTTGGTGGCATAAGAGTCCACAGCAAGCTTAAAGGTCTTGTTAACGTCTTTACGAGCCATGTCTCGCCAAATTTGGTCATAAATTTGGTTGTAGCCCTTGGACATGAATCGCTTTTCGTTGTCGGGGATATCGTCGACCTTTTCCTTGTCCTTGTCTTTGTCCTTGCTTTTCTTGGTCTTCTTCTCAACAACCTCTTCTTCGGTCTTTTCGGCTTCGTCCTTGTCCTTCTCACTGTCGACAGCGACATCCTTCTTGGTTTTCTTGATCTTGATGCGAACGCGATTCTCTTCTTTGGTCGGTAACTCCTCTCCAGCATCCAAGGCGGCCTGTGCAGCTTCCGCAGAATCCTTCTCGGCTTGCTTCTGCTCTTTCGATTTCTTAAGACGAGGTCCACTGCGGCCTTTACCCTTACGCTTGCCAGATGGTGTACCTGCTTCTCCAGATTCAACATCTGAAGCTTGGAATGAAGACATAGTGCCACCTTCCAAGTTAATTTCGAGATTCCGAGCAGGCCCCTTGATGCCCTTCTGCAAGATGAGCTTCGTTTGCTGTGCCTTCTTGCTAGCACGCTCGGCATCTCGAAGATGCTTTTGACGCTCCGTCTCGTCTTCAGCAGCTTCAGCACGAGCAAGGGCTGCTTCCTTCTGCTCCATCGTGACTGCCATAGACTTCTCACGACGTCGCTTGCGCTGCATGTCCTTCTTGCGTTCCTTTTCGGCATAGACTTCTTGATCGCGCACCTCATGAAGCGCTTCATCGTAGAAAACATCATCGTATCGTCGCTTGCCAAGCTCGGCGTGAAGCACCAGCTTCTTACTAGCGGTAATCGCAAATGTGTCGCGTCGGGAAAGGCCATGCTCAACATCAAGTTCGCTCATCACGCGTCGTCGCTTCTGGGCTCGCTCCTTGTATTGCTGTTCGTCGAATTCATCAGCGTCCAAGTTCGCAGCCCTGTTTTCGATCTGTGTTTCGGCGTTCTGGATTTTCTTCTCCATCTCTGCTGACCAGGTCTTTGGCTTGGGCTGACCATTCGCCTGTCGCTTAGCTGGCAGACGAGGCGTTGGCGACTCTTTCTTGACTGACGGTCTGCGGCCGTTCTTTGGTGTTGCAGCGTCTCTGATATCAGAAGCGCGACCTTTGGTTGACTTTCGGGCTCCTCGCTTCTTGGCCGCCGGCTCCTTCTCCTTCTCCCTGCTGGGGATTGGTTCAGGCTCGGTCTCGACATCCTTTTCAACTTCGGTATCGTTATCCGGCTCGGGCTCTAATGAGCGTTTTGTCTGCTTTGGTTCCCGTGAGTCGCGTTTCGGTTCGCGATCACGTTTAGGCTCTCGCTCCTGCTTAATTTCTGGCTCTCTAGCAACTATGGGAGAAGGCTCTTTGGGTTTTGAGGCGGGCTCGGAGCTAGAGAGGATACTGTCAAAAGACATAGGGTTCGCCCTTGATGTCTTTGGTGGAATTAGTACAAAAATAGCCTTCATAAATTCCGGGGTACTTACCGTTGATGAAGGCGCAGGCTTGGGAGGTGATGGAGCCGCGAGATCCGTCTTGAAGGGCGGCATCGCAGAAGCGCCATTAGTAGTTGAGTTCATGTTGGCTGTAGCACCATGTCTCACGCTGGGAGAAGCCAACAAAGGTTGTTGCCCCGGAGGGCTGAGCGATCCAGCTGGAGGGTTCTGATGCGAGTGTGATAGAGGGCTACGCGGGCGGTTATACGATGGACCTCGAGGAGATGTATAGGAGCCGTTGTAGTACGAAGGAGTATGCTGGTCGGTAGTTTGCGAATAGCTGTATGGATCGCGGGACTGTTGAGGGGGAAAGAAAAGTTAGCTCCACGTCAGCAAGTGATTATGTCGATTTTGAATTCGGAGGAGTAAGGTTGCACGACGGAGTAAAGGAGTGTGATGATGAAGTTAAAAAGATGATGTGACGGTTACAGCTTGAAGGGAAATTAAGCTCGACAAGCGTGAAGAAATGAAACAGGCATTGATGGCCTAAGTGTGATGGTTGAAGATCGCGATGATCAAGAATTGAAGGTTGATAGGAAAAGGAAAATCAAAGGCCAGCAAGTGCAATCAATCTAATCAAATCGAGTCTGGGCGAAACGAGAGTCAAAGACAAAAAAGAAGTGGATTTGCCCCCCTTACCTTCGGAGTGCCAGCCGGGGGCGCGTTGGCGTTGGCGTTGTGCCAGGAGGCTCCAGGCGTCGCCGCGTCAGAAATTCGACGTTCCTTTGTTGTATCAGTTGTAGGATCATAAAAACCTCGCGATGCAGGTTTGGGCTCAGGAGGAGGTATATAAATATCCGTGTTCGTCCCGGGAGGGTAATATGCAACAGGAGGGTGCAGCGGCGATACCGGTGGAGGAGCAGCTCGGTGTGGATGAGCTGGTGCTCCGGGTTGATGATGATGCTGATGAAGTCCAGCAGCCGACGACCCAGGTGATGAGGACGAATTAATGCCTACAGGAGGTGGCAGAGAAGGAGCGACGGGGCCGCCGGGTGCGCTCGTGGACGATGGCATGTAGGGATTGGGCAACGCCGGGCGAGGCGGGGATTGAAGGGAATGGTTGACACTTGAAGTGCTGGTGTTGTGGTGACTATGGTTATGACCGTTGGGAGAAGAGAATGGAGGCGGGCGGTACTCAGATTTGGGTGAGCGCAGGGTAAATGTGGAGTGCTGATGCGCATTCGCGCCGCCTGCATTCGATGAGGCTGTCGCCGCTTCTCCAGCTACAGCTCCTGCAGGTAAATCGCCGTCGCGACGGTGGTGATGATGATGGTGGTGGTGACGATGGTGGTGATGAGGACGAGAGTCTCTGTCCTCTTCGCCTCCATCGTCCCCTCTACGCGGTGGCCGCTGCAGCACCGAGGAGTTATAGCCGTTCTGATCCATGGTGATTGATGGTCTAGCGCCTGGGTTGGCAGAACAGAACAAAGCTAAACACCCGAGAGAGCAGGGAATATGTTATAAGTCGGGCGGCCGTTGGCAATCAGTTTCGAGAACCCATGTGCTCGACAAGACAGCGTTGCGACGATTGGGGGGGGTGGGATTCGATGTGCGAGGGTTATTTCTCCGTGACAAGATGCGCAGTCGATCAGTCAGAGATTCGCGATGCGCACGCGAGGCTTTGTGTAATCTGAACTGGATGTGATGCGATGCGATGCGATTCGCAAGTCGCGACCGGGTGATGCAGCGAACTGCGACTGACGAGGGGAATGGGAACGATAACCGATATAGATGGATCGCGACAATGTTAGTTCCAAGTTGAGCCCAAATTCACGGCAACTCGAACGAGGAAGCCCTGGCTGGGGGGCAAAGTGTTTTGGTGTGGAGGTGTTGGACGTAGCGTGGCGCTCAACTGGGATACGGCGATGCAAGCGGCAGTCGATATGGGGAAGGGGATTGGAGACGGGGTGTTCGTGGCTACGGGATATTGTAAAAGTGGAAGAAACCAGCCAATGGACAGAGTAAAAAGAGAGGCAGTGGGGGAACGGATAGTAGGACAACAATGGGAATGCGAATGGTGAGAAAGTTGAAGGATGGCCCGGGGAACAACAAAGTGGAGTGGAGTTTGTTCCAGACGACGGGTTGAACCAGGCTGAGGTGGTGGTGATGGAGTAACTGACAGCCCAGCCCAGCTAACGGTAAGTACCTGCTTCTCAGGCACAATGCGAGTATGAGATTTTAAGTGATGATATAAACATGTCAGATATATTTTGTATGATGACCTTTCTATCCAACATGTTGACTTTAATCATGGACAAAAATCTTGCCTGATGAGCCATGACGACGGTGGTGGTGTGGAGAATTAACGCATCCAGCCCATCCAGATGTGAACAAGGAGAGACAACCAAAAAAGAGACAAGAGGCATATGTAGACGCTGTGATAATCATTTACAAAGCTGCGCGCACGGGTATCTAGGGGCTTGGATGGACCAAATTATAACCACTGAGATGGGAATCACAGACACAACAAACTGCATTCGACAGTGAAGCAATCCAGGCCAGGTTTTTTCATTTGTGTATCACACCAACTGTTTCAAGGCACGATTCCCTAAAGAGGAATTGGCGATAGGCTCAGTGTTGAGGGAGTGTTTACCCATATCAAGTTGGCATTGATGCATGTTGATATCAATATGCATTCTAATGCACTGCGTTTAAAGCCTCATAGTAATCGAGGTGTAACTGTTGATGGAAATGTAAATCAAGGCACACACGTACACGATCCGATCTCGACTCGTCTCGCCTCGATTTGGTGCGTGTCAGTCTCGTCTCTTTTTCACGTCAACTTTTTTGGTTCAGACAGTCTGCCCCTGTCCTGTCTTGTCCCGTTGGTCCCGCGCCATGTGGGTCTGACTCAAAGCTAATCCCTCCAGCGTTAACCAGGTTTTGGCCATCTCCCCAGTCACCGGCAGCGGGGGATAGTTCCCGAAGATCGGTTAATATGGATGCCAACAGTTGACATGTTGGTGGTTATGTCTAGGGTAGAAGTCAGAGGAATACACATTATCTTGCGATATCCGATACAGATATGTTATTCGGATCACTGTATGTCATTATAAGTGCTTAGAATAATCGTTATCTACCTACATGTGCCGCTTATTGTATTCTATGTTCTGCAGGAACTATAAGACTGAAGCTTATTTCTTGGGCACTTTATTTCTCAGCTGGCCTCGCTCAAACATACCAATGGGTATGGAATGCTATCAAAATCGACATTACTGATGAAATACGTTCCCGACCAGCTTGCCACACTCATTGAATAATAGGCTGCATTGTAGAACGTGTTCAAACTAGTGCGCATGAATTTCATTGGAAGCTGTCGCTGTCAAACCAGGGCACTTCCAGCCTGGCTTCATAGCCTCACCCAGGTCAGACAGGTAGTCACATTTTGACAGCATTAATTGTTTTAATGGGAATCCCATTTATTCGTACTACTAAAGGCTTCAAGAGCCGGACCCAAAGGAAAAAAAGAAAATCTATCGTGAACATTTCCACATCTTCATGAACGCTTCCGGGCCTCTCTACTGAGGCCATGCCCATGCGTCCTGTAGCGTCGTCGTGGCCGTTTCATTTCCCATCGTAGGGCAGGTATCAAATATCCGTATCCTGATGGTCTAGCCACCCGCGCTCATAACCCATGAAAATACCCACATAATGCCAATGGCACTCATCAACTTTTTGTGGATCAAATATCCTCTATAGTTAATTTCCTTTCATGCATTCGTGCCAAAAAATCAAAACATCGTCGTAAAACACTTTTGTTGTTGCCTTAGACAGCACCAGCGTTGATCATCTTCTTTCGGAGGTAGTTCTTGTATTCCGAGATAGAGCCATCCCATGTGCGGATAGTCTGGTTCTCACAAACAAGAATCTGCTTGGCAATCTTGTCGAGCAGTCTGTGCATCGTTAGTCATCCATCATTATCATTGCGTTTAAGGGTGCTTACCGGAAGTCGTGGGACACGACAATAACACCTCCGCTAAAGGCGTTGATGGCATCTGCCAAACTGTCAATGGTGGGGATATCCAGACCGTTGGTAGGCTCGTCAAGAAGCAACATGTTGGGGCTCTCAATGGCGAGCAGAGCGAAGACGATACGACTCTTCTGACCCTCAGACAGAGTACCCATCAGGGCAGTCTGGGAATCACCACTGAGACCGTACTTGCCGAGCTGCTGGCGCCAGTACTGGTAGTCCTGAGACTTGGAACTGTACTTGTCACGGACGAAGTCGAGAGCCGACTTTGTCAAGTCAAGTTGCTCAGCACTGTGCTGGGAGTAGAGACCAAGCTTCAAGTGGGTGTGTCGGGTGACAACACCACCGGTGGGAGAAAGCTTGCCAGTCATGAGACGGAGCAGAGTGGATTTGCCAACACCGTTGGGTCCGACAAGGGCAGTTCGGGAGTCCATATCGAAACCGAGGTCAAGGTTGCGGTACAGGTCGTCCTCGGGGTTGCCAGAGTAGGAGAAAGTAACGTTGTCAAAAGACAGGACAGGAGGAGGAAGCTTGTCAACATCGGCGAAACGGAAAGAGAAGACGCGGTCCTGCTCGACAGGCTGGATGAAACCATCGGCCTCCATCTTGTCAAGAATCTTCTGTCGGGACTTGGCTTGTCGCACCAAGTTGGCGTAGGTACCAGCGCTAGCAATGAACTTTTTGATGTGGACAATTTCGTCCTGCTGCTTCTGGTAGGCCTTCATCTGGTTGGTCTCGTTCTCAGACCGTGTCTTGCTGTACGAGTCGTAGTTACCACCATAGTAGATGAGCTGCTTACCACGCATATCGATCATGCTGGAGCATACACCGTTCAGGAAATCCATAGAGTGGGAGACGAGAACCAGAGTTCGCTCCCACTTCTTGAGGTACTCCTCGAGCCACACACAAGCCTCCAAATCCAAATGGGCAGTGGGGTCATCGAGAAGCAGAACGGAGGGCTTGACGAAGAGGGCCTTGGCAAGGGCGACTCGCATACGCCAGCCACCGGACATGTCCTTGGTCTTTTTGTGGATGGTCTTCTTGTTGAACCCCAGACCTGTCAGGATCAGGGAAGCACGGGTAGCAAAGGTTGAGGGGTCAAGCTTGTCCATGTGCTGTAGGATGTTAGCTGAGTGCTTGTATCAAAATGCTGCGGGAAACTTGCCTCGTAGAGATCGAGGAGAACAGGGCTCTCAGGGCCCTCATCCTCGAGGAGCTTCTCAGCCTGATGGTCGAGACGCTCAAGCTCCAGCTCAGCCTCTCGGACGACCCACTCAAGGGCACCCAAGTCGCTGGGGGGAGCACCCTCGTTGAGAAGGTAGATATCGAGATGCTCGGGGATGGGGTACTCGCGAGCGGCGATGGCCTTGAGGAAAGTGGACTTTCCGCAACCGTTCTCACCGAGGAGACCGTATCGTCGACCGTACGAGAGCTCGAGGGTGGAATCGGTGATAAGGACACGACCGTGGAAAACCAGGGAGGTACTTGTGATCTTGACGTCCTTGCTGGTCTGGGTAGAAGCGAGGACACCGGTGGTGACACGGTCAGAGATACCGTGCTTATCCATCTGATCGGCAAGACGCTTCACCTCGTCGAGCTTATCGCCTGAAGTCGCGGGGGCATCGTCCTGGATGGGGTTGCCGTTGGCATCGAGCTCGGGCTCTTCGTTCTTCTTGGCACCCTTCTTGCCCTTGAGCTTGCCCTCGGCAGCCTTCTTAGCGAGACGCTTCTCCTTGGAAGAAGAGGGAGCCATGATGACGAGTTTGTGTGTGAAGAAAAAAAGACCGCGGGGTTGAAAGAACGGAGACTGACGGCGGGGTGAATGAACTGTCTGTCTAAGAAATCAAGTCCAAACCAAGGGGGTATATGTGATGATGGTTTGGAAAATGAATGTTCGATGAAGAAAGAAGAAAGAGAGGAGAGATGGAAAAAGTTAAGTTGACCGACAAGAAAAAAACCAGCCAAGCAAATAACAATGAGTGTGGCGGTTCCAGTTCCCGGTTGAATAATGCACGTACAGGCCGTCAAGGCTTCTGAGAGGCAAGGCGGGGTGAATTTTTATTTGGTGGGGCAGATTTACAGATTTTTTGACTGACGAAAGAGTCAGGCACCAACTAAGGCACCAAGCTATGATTATTCCCGACAAGCGGCAGTTATTTGAGAGGTTATTAGATTTTGTTCGAACTTTGAAGAACAAAATGTCAATATTTTCTGATTCTCTTGATGTGTCGATTTCTAGATTCTGTCCTCTTTGTGTAGTAAAATCCACTGTTATTAAAACCCCAATAAATCGGGGATCTTTTTCAAAAAACCTGACGTCATCAATCCCTTCAATCTGATTGGCTATTGTCTTCAGGATTTTCACTGCCCGCCATTTTGTTATCGTGTAGGCAACCTTGAGAGACGGCGAGCCCGTATCATTGTATTGTATCTACACTTGTAGTTCTCTGGTTCATAATTAAATTCGGGCTCACCGGCTGAATGTTGAGACAGCGCGAGTCAACTTTGCCTCTCAGCATAAACTCGCAAACCAAAGTACTGTCACCTGAAGGTGATACTGCCGCGCGTTGCGCCTGGGATCCGACGGTAACTGTCGCTGACTCAATCCTTGTAGGCGAGATGTATCAGGCAGTTATACCCTTTCCAGCTTAACTCGTTACTTATCATGATGAATTGCCGGGCTGACACTTGTCTCATGCGATGCGAAGACATTGATCATTAATTATTTATCTGGAAGACCTGATACACGGCCATATACCGCTGATGATTACGAGCTGACGCTGGCCGGTCTTACTCCACCCTAGAAACTTGCATCGAACTGGGCTCTACATGGCACTATGGCGAATACAACATACTATTGAGAGCACATGATGATAGTGACTAGACTATAGTCTACGTCCAAAATCATAGGTCACTAGTATCACTCCAAGTCGCTCGTATCCTGTTTTGTTTCATGCAGTCATTTCATCATTGATACTAAAGTCGCTCTGCTACAGGTGTCATTGCATCCTCAGGAATTAAGAGGAAGTCTCGTTGTTGAGAGAATCGAAAGGGGTCTCGCTGGAGAGGGCACTCTGCCTGGGGCCAGCATCCCGTCCAACAGCATTCTGTCTCTCCTGGAACTGCTGCTCAGCAAGCCGGCTAGGGTCATTTTCGCTGCCTGGCTCAGACTCCAAAGCCAACTTGAGGCCATCCTTGGTCTTTGAGTCGTCAAATCCCTCGGTAGCGTTCTTGCCATGAGGTCCACTCGAGCTCCGGATGTACTGGTTCTCGACGTAGCTGGGAGCAGTGCCGCTGTTGGCAGAGCCGGACTGGCCAGACTTGGAATCGGCGTTGGAGCCAAGAGCGGAAGAGGTCTTGGTAGTACGGCCAGCGCTGGACTTGTCGGCGCTGGACTTGCCAGAGCTGGACTGGGTAGACTTGGAGCTAGGAGCCGAAGAGGTATCGGTGTTGTGGCCAACGCTAATGTTCTCAGACGCGGATGAGGGTTGGTTCTCACCGCGAATACCCTCGTTAGAAGCGAATTCGCCGCCCTCCTTGGTGGACTCGGCAGCAAGAGACTCCGAGGCGACCTTGCCGGCGCCCTCCTCCTTGACAGGAGCGTTCTCGCCAAGATCAACCTGGATTGTATAAGTATTCGTTGCAGGTTCGTGGTGTGGTGTTATTTGACGGAGCTTACCTTTTGGCCGTGAGTGGGATTCTGGTTCTTGGGAGCCATGATGTCTATTGTCTGGTATGGTAGGGAGAGAAGAGAATTGGTTCAATATTCGCAATTGAAGATGAAGTTGCAGAGTATGGTTGAATACAGATATCACTTGAGAAAGGGCCTTGAGCTCAATGATATATTGCTATTTGGCAGTTGCATGACATCATGGCGGCTGTCTCTCACTTGACGCCTTTAACCTCTAGCATGACGCCGGATTACATCATGGAGGTTCTAGCCACGAGGAATTGGTCATGAAAACAAGCAAGAGGGAAGGAACAAAGGGCTTTTTGAGTTTGGTTAGCCAAAGGTTTGGAAAGTTCGACAGAGTACAAAGACATCGAAATCTGAGCGGCGGGTGCCGGGTCGTGTAAGATGGGTGACAACTGCAAGATGTGTGTTGTAACATGACGGGATACTACAGCCAAGGGTAGCACCAAACCTTTGGCAAAGTAACAAATGTTGCCATGTCAAGTAATGGCTCTTCAGCCCTGCCGGCATCTCATTTCTGTGACAGCGGAATGACGGTGTTTACCCGCTTAAAAGCAGCTTGTCGGACGACCATTCATATGACAACACCAACACCAAACTTTATGCATTCAAGGCCAGGATCACGCTTCTATCCAGAAACCCATGATCTTCCGGAGCTTTTTCGCCTGTTTGTCTATTTACTGGCCACTTATGCGTGTCTGTGCAATGCTGGGCCGTGGAGAATGTGTCTTGGCGCATATCTCTCCAACTCTCCTCATTTTGCTCTCACTGTTTAGTTTTAGCAATTTGGACTAATAAAGGCTATCTTTCTAATAACACTAGACGATAGCTTCACCATGTAAATAAAGACTTTTCACGTTGAATGCGCCCAACGGGGGAAGATTTACTAATCAGAAAGTCTTGTGATATCGCGATATGGTCTACGTGCGTTCGCGTAAAAGTTCGCTACAAGGTGTAGTTTGTAACGAGATGTGATACTTTACGTGGGGCTTTTCAACATGTATGATAGCTCGCGTGCGTACGGAGTATCAGCTCCTATGGTAAGCTTGATAATCGCAGTCATTTGACAATTTGTTTATTCTCATAGTGGTCACTTGCTCCGAGTGTACAAAAGCTCTCGAGATATCCGAGGGGCTACATAAACTTGACGGCATGACCCGGCTACAACAGAAAGCTTTATGCCCTAGTATTATGGCAAATAGCGCGCATGGATATACGGCTGTTTCTTTGTCCGGGAGACATATCGTTGATATCAAGCGATCTGTATACTCGAGTGTCACTTGAGTGATAGGGAAGTAATCGGGGAATGCCATGTCGAAAACATCACGGCTTATGTGAATAATATGGATTATTGGTTTCAGTGCGAAAAAGTGATGGGTGTCCTCTAAGCGCGCCTTGTTATATACTGATTAGTTGTTCTCAGCTAGATAGTTGAGCGTCAAGTCAACGGTCGGGTCATAGAGGAGCGAGTCTACGAAGGAGTCCTGGTCCTGTCCACTAAATCGAGTCCGTTTAATATTCGATAGCTGTGATACTAGAACTCTTTTTTTATTTGTATCCGGATCTGCTAAGCATATACATTGCTGAACTGAGCACCTCGATACCTTTTTGCGCTTGTTGGCCTGCAACACAATAGGATGTTGGAACTACGACTTTGACGAGGATAAGAGACGAAATCAGCATAAGCTCATAGCAACTGGGACCCATCCTTATTTCACTTGTTTAATGTCTACCATGGCTTAGAAGTTGCCTCTCTTAATACTCTTTGGACGGTGTGATGATGCAAGCAGGGAGCGAATCTAGGATATTATCAGACCTGCCCATGTTATGAACGTACTCGCAATTTTTTTTTTTTTTTTTTAACACGCCTGACAATAAAATAACAGGTGAGAGAATCGAGAGTAGGAAATCTTGCACTGCTATTCTAAAACAATTGGGTGATCTTGATCATTTCCACTGTTGTCAATAATTTTGTCTTTTACTCCGTGCCAACATTTAGTACATTATTTCTCTTCCGTTATTTGCTACACTAAAACAGGTTCTTGAGCAAACAGGCAACCACAAAGGCATTCTAAATCAACAAAATAAGATCTTCACAAGGCTCAGTTGCCAAGGCTGATATTTCGCGCGCCTGACGCAAGAATGAAGGAAATTCGGCCCCGAATGGCAGTTTCGCCACCCTATAGCCAACTGAGGCAGCGATTGTGCCGCATGATCGACCATCAGTGGAACCAATTCAGTAACGCTGGAGATTTCAACGCATGTCAGTGGTCAAAAGTGGAAGAACCATAAAATCTCGAGCAGCAAGTGATGAAAAGGTGAAGTGTAATTAGAGTCATTGTTTGGCATGCGGCCCAAAAGGCTAACAACAACCACCACAGCCTAGGACTAACTCAGGTTCGATGTTATTTAAATAGAGTAGTCCCTAGGCGCAGAGAAAGTTCCAAGCTTCAGAAACAAACACCACCGTCAAACAACTAAATTTTGAACTATTTAATTCGCATTAAAACGCATACTCCACATCTAATTAAAACCAACACGATGCCAACTGGAGAACTCGTTTACCACAACGGTCACTATCATCGTACTTCGGCAGACCGGCCGGAACAACGGCATAATCAAACGCGTCCTCAACATGGGATGTTGCAAAGAACTCACGATGTTTGGGGTCGCTTACTCTACGGCGTTGGTAATGTCTATTACAAGATTCGAGGGCAATGAACCACGAAAACGATGACGACGCATACACGAGCGAGGAATGGGATCGATGATCAAAAAGAAAATTACCCACTGTTTGCGTTACTGTCAACAAGATCAAGCTTTGACAAGTCGTCGACGAACCACTCTATATGATGATGATAGACAGAGCTCCAGCGCTTATCAAGGAGGAACAACAAAGAACAATCCAAAAATACGACAATCAAGCTCACGCCAGCTATGCACCGCCGTATCAGGAATCATGTTATGGACCCATCGACATGCAGAGAAGTCAATGCTCTGCTTTACTCTGGTTTCAGAGTCCGATGGAGCAAGGAACCAACCAGCACACACGAGTGAGAGATACAGTATCAGGGTTAGGAATGACATGCCTCAAGAGGCTTGAGATAAAGAGACAATCCGGGCCGAGGTGGTAGAGGGATCTGTGATCCTTGAGAGAGAATCAGCGTGACACTGGATATGAACATGCGTAAGCTTTTTTTGTTCAGGGATGAAGCTATTGACAATTCAATGTCATTGATTGAAATGAGGCTGCTTGCAATTCAATTAAGCCAAGAGGACAAGACATGTGCATTTAATATCATTGTATTGCAAAGTCCATGACTCTTGTTGCCAAGTGCAGTTCCAAAGATTGAGTTCCACCGGAAGCGTTTCAAGACAATTTCCCAAGATTGATTTGAGACGTCGTATACGTCTAGAAGGCGAAATAGAGCAAGTGAGACCCCTGGTGTTTTGGCAAAAGACGGATATCCGGTGGAGATTGTCCCCTTTTCTGTACAGTGCAGAGTCTTGTCTGAGCATGGGTTACTAACACCACATGCCCTAGGCGAGGCCAAGCTTTGGCTAGAGCGAGATAGAGCTACGGTGTGCATTGATACCAAGCACTATATCACCGTCAACAAGATGAGATCCCGCATTCACCATCCCTGATTGGATACGGATGGCGCCGGTCAAGACCCAAACAAGCTTCAATTTCTGGACTGCGCCTCACAATAGACATGGGATCTTTTGTCTGGTTGGCTCATTTCCCGCTTGTCGAGGAGATCTGCTCGTTCCTGTTCTTTGAGGGACCTGTGCCTTTACCGCTGCAAGCACAGTGTCGCTCATCCACTGCAACACAGCCGCTGCCAACCCCTTGCCATGACAATTAGCGGCTTGGGTTACTGAAGCTCAGGGGCCCCAGAGCCAGTGGCCCAAGTAGGGGCGATTAATCCCGGCCACCCATGCATTCCATTTTACTTTTCAAATGCTCCCACCCATCCCTCGACTCGAAATCATCTTTCCTCTTTCTTCCTACAACAACCTCTAATTCTTCATCGCCGTTTTTTTGTCTCTTTCGGTTCTCGTTACTTTGAGACCGATTTTTTTCTTAACTATTCCCGACACTCATTTATAAACTCTTGCTACTACGATCCGACCTTTGCGAAGGCAAAAAAGGGGTTTCAGCATTCCAACAATTGCTCTTGATTCTCGACATTCATTACACTCTTTTTACTAGCCGTTTGATACACAACACACAATGAAGTACTCTGCCGTTATTGTCGCTGCGGCGGCCGCGGCCGCCAGCGCCAAGCTCGAGCCCATCACCATGAAGGTTCGTTGCGCGCGCATTGTGATATGATGCACATGCTGACAGCTCCCAGGGTTCCAAGCTTTTCTACACCAACGGAACTCAGTTCTTCATGAAGGGTGTCGCTTACCAGCAGGACTCCGCCGCTGGAGGTGAGACCACCTCAAAGAAGTCCTACAGCGACCCTCTCGCCGACGAGAAGGCTTGCAAGCGTGATGTTCCTCTCCTCAAGGAGCTCGGTACCAACATCATCCGAACCTACGCCATTGATCCCGAGGCCGACCACACTGCTTGCATGAAACTCCTCGACGACGCCGGCATTTATGTTATTTCTGATCTTTCCGAGCCTTCTGTTTCAATCAACCGAGATGACCCCAAGTGGGACATTGAGCTGTACCAGCGATACATTGGCGTTGTCGACGAGCTCGCCAAGTACGACAACGTGGTCGGTTTCTTTGCCGGTAACGAGGTCTCCAACAACGTCTCCAACACTCAGGCTTCTGCCTTTGTCAAGGCTGCCGTCCGCGACACCAAGAAGCACATCAAGAGCAAGTACGACCGCTGGCTGGGTGTCGGTTACGCCTCCAACGACGATGTCGACATTCGTGAGGATATTGCCGACTACTTCAACTGTGGCAAGGACGACGAGCGCATCGACTACTGGGGTTACAACATTTACTCTTGGTGTGGCAAGAGCAGCATGAAGGACTCTGGTTACTCTACCCAGGCCGAGTTCTTCAAGGACTACTCTGTCCCCGTTTTCTTCGCTGAGTACGGCTGCAACGAGCCCGATGGTGCTGCCAACCGTATCTTTGACGAGACCACTGCTCTCTACGAGGAGAAGGAGATGACTGATGTCTTCAGCGGTGGTATCGTCTACATGTACCACCAGGAGGCCAACGACTACGGTCTTGTCAAGATCAGCAAGAACGGTGACGCTGTCAAGCAGAAGGATTTCGCTCAGCTCAAGAAGAAGGCTACCGCTGCTCAGCCCCAGGGTGTTGAGGAGGACGACTACAAGCCCACTGGAAAGACTCCCACCTGCCCCACCCAGTCCAAGACCTGGAGGGTTAACGCCCTTCTCCCCCCTACCCCCGACAAGTCCCTCTGTGACTGCATGGTCAAGAGTCGAAGCTGTGTTCCCGCCGACGACCTCAAGGCTAAGGACTTTAACGAGATCTTTGGTTACATCTGCGGCGAGAACAAGAAGATCTGCACTGCCATCAACGCCAACGCTACCGCCGGTATCTACGGTGCCTACAGCATGTGTGACAACGAGGCCAAGCTCGCCTACATCCTCGATGCCTACTACAAGGAGCAGAACAGCAACGCCAACGCCTGTGACTTTAAGGGCAAGGCCACCACCCAGAAGGCTCAGAACCAGGACTCTTGCAAGGCTAAGCTCGAGTCTGCTGACAAGATCAACGAGGAGGTTGCTACTGCTACTGCTGCTGCTGGCGCCGCTTCCACCGGCGAGTCTGAGAGCGAGGACGACGATGAGTCCTTCGGTCTCCAGGCCGCTACCATCGCCCGCGTCTTCTCTCTCGGCGACTACGCTGTCGGCGCCTACATGGCTGTCGCCGGTGTTGTCGGTGCCGGTATGGTCCTTCTGTAAGTGATTTTTGGATGGATCATGGTATGACTCGTATCTTCTTAGCGGTGGCCTTTTTGGAATGTGCGTTATTCCCACATTGTGTCCTTTTTTCTTGTGTATCTAGCATCGCTTTCATGGCTTGTAATTAGAACGATTATAGATGTCTAATACCATCTTGCGCGATTGATATGCCAATGTTGTGTGAAAGTCTTAATTGTGACGAATTAAAAATTGCTTGTAGTTTACTCCGGAATGCAGGCTATGGGCGTCAGAAGACAACCGCATGATGGCTCTGACCGGTGCTTTTCACTAGTAACAGACACGTTTTAGCGATTACTATCATATTCTTTTGTTGCTGTGAACTGATGACTGGGGTGCCAATTTCAAGCACTCCTTGCGTAAATACATTCATTAGCAAATGCTGGCCTGAGCGTTAATCTTTGGAAAGGGGTTATGTTGGAGTAGGCAACCTACGAGCTGCACTTGAAAGATCGTTATCAGGACGATATCTACATAATATGGCAATAGGCAAGAGGGGACATGGAAAGCGCAAAAAAAATAAAAATTGGTAGCTTCTCTTTGATTGAGCGTGTCATCGTTAGGACAGGGGCCATGCTAATATATATTCGGTCAGTATCGTGATATCAGGATGATCCTATTTCAACTTGTAGACCCTTCTGATCACCGATCTTCTAGGCAATAGTAACGTTTGTTATCTGGGTTTTGTGTTGAGTTTCTGTGTCTGCTGTCACTACAGCAGCACGGCACTCCCCAACTGCATACCCTGGATTTTGCTGGAGTGTGATAGAATAGTTAGCGCTCAGCCTCAAGATATAGGGATGGAAGGCTTAAGAGTCCGGCTTAAGGTACATATTGAACTACTGATTTTGTTGCATACTTCCAATGGTGGTTTTTCTAATCCGAGTCAGATAGAGGAACTGGTGACAGCCTACTTTGAGTATGGTTCCAATAGAGGTTTGCGCATCAGCCCCACCACCCTTTACAAATGGCACACAATTTTGTAAAATAACGCTTTCTTTGACTATTTGAGAGAGTAATTTTGCACTTGTAAAAAATCCGAATTCCGTCAGTTGCTGTGGTTGTGGTATCTTGTGGGTTGGGATTCTTCAGCTTGTGTGCCAGGCCTGGTATGGAGGCATGGCTTCACAAGGCATGTTGTGTGTATTTGGCACTGGCACGTGAGTTTTGGTTCAAAGAAAGGTAAATAAAAGTGTCAGCGATTGCAGGAGACGTGGTGGTGCTTGCGTAGTCGTGGGTGGTATATAAGTCTTTCTACATTCTCACTCTTTCGTCAGCGGGCAACCGCTGACATTTGGTCTATTGGTAAGTTTGGTCCAGCGGTCTATGGAATGTAACGACATTTACTAACAATGCGCAGAAACGATACAGAGAAGGTTAGTTCGAACGACACTAATAACCCGATCACAATACTGACCGAATATAGATTAGCATGGCCCCTGCACTAAGGATGACACGCTCAATCAAAGAGAAGCTACCAATTTTTTTGCCTTTTTTTTATTTATTATATAAAAATATCACGGCTTCTGTTCTGTTTTGCTCTGACGCGATACAAGGTTTCGTGGTGGTTTGTTTTGATACCCCGGTCGAAGCAAGGTTATGGTCCCCACATATAATCTCTGCCCCATCTCGTGCACGTGCCCGTGCCTGGGCCGGGCACCGTTGGGATATACCCCAAATAACCACGTTCCACTTAAGCATGCGTCTACATATAACCAGCTGTGTTGCTTGAACTTAAGACCAATAGACCAAATGCCAGCGGTTGCGGCGAAAGATAGAGCAATCATGGTATCTGGAAAAATACCATTACACTCTGGGCCCTTATAAGTTTGGACTGCCTCCTCGTAAGCGTCTTGACTTTTATATATCTTCAACTGTCTAGATTCTGTCAATAGCTGCACTTGTTGATGGTCTTGTTTCTTAAATGCTAAGAAATACTGATTGCTAGCGCTTGATGTGGTAACTTGAGCGCATAAGCAAAATGAGCACTCTCATAAATTCTTAAAAAAACACCCATACATGAGCTTGCGTGACACAGGAATGGATGGCGAAGCCCGGGCATCAATCTATCAACCAAGCATCCAATGGTCGGGGTCTGACAAACGTAGCGCTGCAAGTCACGCAACCCATTTGAAGTAGAACAATCATCGCTGCGTACTGGAAGAAAGACATTGGTATTACAAGTATAATTTGGCTGCTTATCATTCCCTCTATTGCCATGCGTCCTGAAGGACAGTGATCGTAGCTTGACCCATTCCATCACCAGCTCTCTTGTGATTGAAGACTACAGAGGCCGTAATGCAATGTGTTTTATGTCTGTCTAAAGTCGTTTTTGTTTCGGAGTAACTCGACTCTCTCCTTCCACAAAAGCTATCCTACAGTGTCTTAATTCATGGTTTGTTATTTGGCATCATGGACAATCATAATGATTGTGGTGGAAAGGTTAATTGCTCCCCCGACTAAGGCAGTACTGATCTACTTGTGCCTTGACCAAGAGCAAGCTTGTTCTGGCGTTCGATACAGCTTGTCAGTAATTTACTGTTTCCTTGACTTGCCAGAAACACACAATACGCTCGCCTCCTCTTCATCAGAACTACTGGCCACCAGGGGCTCATGGTGGTCGATATGGGAGCATTTGGCTTGACCTTAGACATTAAGTCTAAACGCAATGATAACAACTTCATTCGATATCCCGTCGTCAAGGTGCATCATCGTGCGCGCAGTGGTTCGAGCCGTTCCTTGTATCGCATTCCGGACAAAGCACATGTCGCCATCATCTCACATCAACATCGGAGCCATACATACTGAGACCCTGAAAGTCGTGAGAGAAACAGTAGTCGTTAAACAAACTCTCGCATTCCAGACAAGCATCGCAGCCACCACTACCATCCTTTCTTCAAACGTTCCTGGCGGCAGTGACAACTGCCCAGAGTCGGGGGTTTCTCACGACTCACACTGTGATCATACATATTCTCGAGCCACAAGACAACAATGAGAATCAACGATTTCACTTACACGCTTCCAGAGGGTAAGTCTCCGTTCATCTCTGCATCGCTCGTCCTCACAAAGCATTCAATGAAAGTGTACTTCTACATTATGTAGTATGACGAAAGAATCAAGGCCGCGGGCCTGTGTATCGGGAGAATGACAAATCTCAAGAACCGACTGCACTTCCTGTCTACCTACTATGCCTCCTACCTTTCTATTCGAATCTCCCCAACTACCCCTATTCACCTCCATCTGCGTCCCTACATACCTACCTATCAACCCCCCCACCACACATCTTGCAATCGCTGACATTTTTCTTTACCTTTCATTAGATTAAAATCACGTAATCAAGTGTAACACGAAATAAATAAATAACTCTATCAACATCTGGTATCATAAACGCCTCTATATACGTGCCTGCAATATGGTATCATGTATAAATCATTATCCATCACTTCTTCAACATGCCAGGACCCTTGATGGTGCTTGCTCGGCTTCGAACTCTAGAGTCATACTTGAGAGTCTTATCGCCAATCATTCCATTCTTTCCCGTGGTAGAGCCTGGAACACAAGGCTCTTCATTCCATGCTACACCTCTAGCACGTCTCCAAACGGCAGTAGGAGAAGCCGACATCAGCTGCGTATAAAACAGGCGGCAGTTGGCTGCTTCATATCGAAACTGCACTGGGTATCCTTTGAGATTATCCTCAGTGTAGCCGTTGAGCGAGTTGACTCTACCAGCGTTGGGAAGGGGTAGAAGAGGTGGGTTAGACAAGCTGGGGAGTGAGGCAGACGCGTCGTTGAGGATGGAGAGTGCTTCCTTATCAGCGCTTGCGCCAGCTTGAACTTGAGCCACTGCGCTGACAATATCCTGGTTAAAGTTGAGCAAAGTCCCCTTGACACCACCCATGGCTTGCATAGCTTGATTGAGAGGGCGACCGCCAAGAGCAAGCGTACGAATGCCATAGTTGCGTGTGAGAAGACCAGTCAGGATACCACAGGCTGATGCGCAAATGCCGTCAGTGACAATGAGTATATTCTCAGGCTTCCAAGGGGCTTTCTCCACAACAGGCTTCATCTCAGGGTCGAAACCGTTGATGTAGGCAGGGATACTAGGCTCCCAAGGGACAGTCTTGTCGGTCTGGAAAGCCACAGTTACGTTCTCCCCTTTGACTGTGTACGGACCGAAAAAGTCCTTGCCGGTTTCGATGGCCTTGCCGTCGACGCCCACAGGGTAGTACTCTGATCTTGTGATGAAAGATGCGACGAGATTGTCATAGTCGGCCTCGGAGGCTGCCTCGAGAGCTGCGTTGGCGCGATATCGGTCCCAGCCGGTAAACTTGCCATCTGGAAACAACAGACGATAGATCAAGTGTGCCAAGATGACTGATCCACCACCGTTGGCAGACATGTCGATGATAAGTTTATCACGGCCAGCTGCTTTAGCCTTGCGAATGAATTCAAGTACAACAGCCTGTCCCTCGAGGATGAATGTTTCCAGGCTGAAGCCAGCAGGGGGGTTGGCAAGGTCAAGTCCAATAGGGACGAAGCTCAAGATAGAGAGAACAGCAGTATCTTCATAACCCTTACCATCGAGGAAGTATGCGGCTACCGAATTGGCTGAATGTTTAGCAATGGGAATGGGGTACCCAGGGATGGACTTGGATGACTCTTGGGTTGAGCGGCGTTCATTGGTAGGTTCCTCAGATGTCGTATTGGCGGGCATGATTTCGATGTACTGATGGAAGTCCTCGCCAGACTCAATTCCAGAGAAATCGATTGAAGGCAGGATGATAATCTCGTTTTGAACAACCTTCTTGGTGCCGTTGTGGAATTCAATGGTATATGTATCAGGGATCTCATACTGAGTGATGATCGTGCTTGCGGATGAGCCAGCAGCTTTGCGGGGAGCGGATGAGAATAGCGCATTATACTGAGCATCAGGATCTTGGGCGCCGGCTGTAAGACGAGAGGCATCCTCCTCGAGCCACTCTACAATCGGGGTGCCATCGATACTCTTGACAGCTGAAGGGGTGTAGTCAAGAAGACCGTGGTTGCCACGGTCTGAATCAATACGGGAGAAGATGTAGGGCAGGCGGATACCGTTGGAAGAGACGGATTCAAAGTTGATGCCTCGTCGGACGTACATGAAGGCGTTGAGAAGGGCCGGGGGGTAGTCGAAATGGCCATCATAGGCAGCGGCAAACTATAAGGTTAGTATGGATCATGTCAAGGTGGAGGAGTGGGTGACAGAAATGTTGGCGAGACCTAATGGTTTTGTCTTCTATGCCTCTAGCAACTTCTCTTATACCCTGGGGAGGTTACTTACAATACTCCGTAGATCAGTCATGACTTCATATTGTGTCTTGTACTTGTTGTTCTCCAGCTTGCTGCGAATGGTATCAAATCCACCCAAGACATCGACACCAGGGAACAAATATTCTTCTGGGGGATCAGCAAGAATCTCGAGTGTACTCTGGAACTCGATGAGAGGCTCAAGGTAATCTAGTAGCTCAAGGTCTCGCTTCTTGTCTAGGGGAACAGACTTGAGGCAAGCAATGCCAACTGATGGAGGAATAGCCAGAATGACAGGATTTCCCTTTTCAGGATTCGACTCCTCGTAAGTCTGGCTTATAAGTTTGCAAGGGTTTTTCGTATCTGAGAGGTCGCGGTATGTGATGAAAGAGGGCTGATGCCTCGCCTGGTGCATGATCTGTCTGGGCTCCAGGGCAGCAAAGCTGACCCCGGCAAGGGCCAATAGAGAGGTGGAAATGATCATGATGAGTACAGAAATGAAGAACGATAGGGCTGATAGAAGTGCTCTTTCGGGCGTCTACCAACCCTTTTATGTCGTCCATCCATTTTCGCAGGGTATCAGGAAAGCTTATGCTGGAAGCCTTGGAGACGAAATTAGTAGGTCAGTTTGCGCTGACTTGACCACGCTTCCTGGGCTGTTTATTCTTGCAGCCTAAAACTTGGAGGCTTGTGGCTGTGTGGAACTACCTGCGCAGTTGTTGGCGCTGAGCGGGTTGCTTACTATCCTGGTAGTTTGATGGGCTGTGCTTGCAGCTGCTGACAGCTTTGCGGACCTGTCAGATCTCAATGGCATCTTGTTTCAATCGGGTAATATTTTGTTTATTTTTTCTTCTTGTCTGGTCAAATGAGAGACAGGCAACCGAGATACTGCTTTGGATCTGCAAGTGATTCAATTCTGTTTGGCTGTTGAAGCTCTTGCGAGGGATCAACATGATATGTTTCAACCAGGCGGCTCGACAACCAGTGATGGTTGACATTTGAACTGTGGTCCCCGCCAACGGGCTTCTATTTTAAGGAGGCGCCACAAGGCATCTTGGATCAAAAATCCCTACCAGTTTCTCAGCCAGGCGGAATTAATCAGTCAGCGCCCCAATTCTTTATTTCATCCCGAGTCTTGACGGAGAGATGGGATAGTGAACATATTTAGACCTAAAAAAATACACAAAAAACATGCTAATATCGTAAACTGACTCGATAAGCACGTCCCTCATTCCCTCAGCCGTCAATCCAAATGCGCCACCTCGTCTCCAAGTACGAAACGGTTGTCTTGATGTTGCGGAGTTTAGGCTTGGGGTTTTCGTACAAGTTTAAGCATGCTTCTTAGCGCGTGGGAGCTGACATCTACTGCGAGGCGTATGCAAAGACCTATATAAATACCCGCCAACAGGAGGAGTTTTCGGGACCGAACTGAAGCTTGTCTGTTGCTTCTGCGAGTATAGGTTTGTCACAATCAATCACTCCCAGGCATATGGCAAAGAATGGAGTGAGTTTGACAAGTCATGCTGATAGTGACAATGATTCAAAACCTTGATAATATACTTTGCTGCTGCTGCCTGGAAAATAGGCGTTGGGAAGGGTTTATAAGTTAACACAAGACCATCACTACTGTCTCTTCAGAGATTATATGGTTAACAGACAGAGAAGATCAGCGTGGCCCCTGGTACTAAGGATGGCACGCGTTCAATCATGGGGACGCTATACTTTTTTTGTGTTTTCTGTCGATACTACCAACCTAGGTCACAGGTGGCTACTCTCTACCATGACCTGTTCATAAAGACTGATGCATAAAACAGCAAAGATTTATCTAGTGAGTGACAGAAAAGCTAGCCTTTAGGCTTAGGATATAAAAATAAGTGATCGAAAAGTTTGGTCTAAATGGCATAAACTGATCTGCTATTTTCTGTAGCCTCTAATACCCTGAGGACGATCCCGATCGCGAATGTACACCATGACGTCAGCCATCTAAAAGCAGGCACGCGACGCATCACAAGCTCGCATGTCGTCTTTCTCTTGACTTTCATTTTTCTTTACCTGCAATAATTTTATTTCCCTAGGACATTCTTTTTTTGAGACGATATCATTTATCGTCCAGGCCGACATGCCTCTCCTTCCACGAATCAACCCGGATGTGGCCGCAACGCCTGAATCCAAGAGAGCGACACTCAAGGCTTTTTTGCGAAAATGGTTAAAAGTGAACTACCAAGATCTGCTTTGCATGGCCTTTGTTGGCGCTATCGCCTATGGTGTACGTATTCTTCCTACGTTTTTCTTCCATCACTAACAAATCCCAGATCTACCACTCTCCCGTCATCATTACACGAACATTCCCCATCACTTTCGATGCGACGTCCGGCGATATCGTCTACCCCCAATGGGCCTACCCTGACCGTGGTTGGATTATTCCTGCGTGGCTATCCGGACTGATCTCTATCGCGTTACCTATAATTACCTATGTCGTCGCTCAAATTCGGATCAAGTCAGTTTGGGATGCGAGTAACGCTATAATCGGGACAGTTTGGTCCGTAACTCTGGCGTCACTCTTCCAGGTTACCCTTAAACAACTCGTGGGCGGTTTTAGACCTTACTTTCTCGATGTTTGCATGCCTGACATATCACTCGCAAAGACGCACAACAAGACCGGCTTGAATGGAGTTGGCTTCTACCAGATCATGTACACTACAGAGATCTGCACACAGCCTGACCAGTCGAGGATTCAAAACGCAATCACGTCGTTTCCGAGTGGACATACGACCGCTGCATTTGCTGGATTCGGGTTTCTTTTCCTGTGGCTTAATGCCAAGCTAAAGGTCTGGGCAGATCACAAGCCAGCGTTCTGGAAGCTGTCACTCACTTTCATACCTGTCTTGGCGGCAGTTCTCATCGCTGGCTCTCTCACCATCGACGCTGCGCACAACTGGTATGATATCTTGGGAGGAGGTTTTATCGGCACGGTCATGGCGTTTGCTAGCTACCGCTCTACCTACGCTTCAGTCTGGGATTGGCGTTTCAATCACCTCCCACTTCAGGAGACGGAATCTTTTCGATATGGCTTCGATGGAGACTTGGATTATGCAGCGCAAACACTATCCATGGCTGCTGGATGGGGAGGCAAGAAGGTTAGGTTGCCTGAAAGCTCGAGCGGTCCTGCTATCAGCACCGAGTCTACCCTTCGTAGTGGCGCTGAGGAGATAGAGAACCTGGACGCGAACACTAGAAGGAAGCGAAGGGGACCTGTGGGTGAAGAGGCTGTTTAGTCATGATGCATGGTTAGCAAGGAGTAACGAGGGTATGAATGGTGAATGAGTATTTTTAATATGTTTGTATAGCATTCTATTCGGATTATGGAACTTTGATTCATGGCTATTGAAGGTGCTGCTGACGAAAAGACATTTGTTGCTACATGAGGTCTGTATCCTGCTCAAGCACGATGGTCTGGCTCACGACTAATGGATGAATAAACAGATGTATCATATAACAATCTAAAAGACTTGAGCATTGTCACGAGAAACAAATAAACCTCGATAGGTGAGGATCTAAGAAGAAGCCCGTTCTGTCCTCACCGAAATCCTGAACCTAATTCTTCTCCACAACCTCATAACCGGGCAGGTCTTCCGTACTATGAATAGTGGTGGGAGATGTAACTATGAGCATTGGAGGCTCTTGAGTCTTCTGGCTCGGAAGTTCATCGACCCTTTCTGACTTTTCAGATCCACCAATCTCAGACTCTTGAGGTTCATCGGTGTATCTTTCTAGCTTTTCAAAGCTACGAGTCTTGGACTCTTCAGGCTCATCGGTATATCTTTCTTGTTTCTCAGACAGGATAGAATCACCAGAGATAGAGTCACCAGGGGTGGGAGATTCGCCCACGGCCTGTACGACAGTGCGATCATATGTAACCCGTCCCTCGAGTGCTTGGAGCACTTCAAAAAGAGGCTTAGCACCCATGGGCCAAGCAACATCACCAAGCAAGACCTTCTCTGCTGTGATACCGCGCTCGTTGTAAAATGCGGCATTGGCATCGCCTCGTGCAACAACAATAGTACCATCAATCTGAATACCCGCCCACAAACCACGACTCTTCATATAACTCCACACTGGTCGAGCAGCAGTCTTGCTGAGGGCCGCCTCGATGCTGCCGCCTGTTCCAACAGGACCAACAGCAATGGAACCTGCTGCGCCGAGTGATACACGAGGCTTGGTAAAGGCGGCAACTTGCTCAGGGGTGTTGAGAACGCAGACGCAGTCGTAAACATCAAGACCAAAGACAAAGCCCGCACCGAGTGTGCTTACAATGAATGAAGAGGGAGGAGACCAGGTGCCGTCTGCGCGACGAGAGATGACTACGCCGGAGCCACCGGAGAGAGAGCCATGGCAGGCGCCGGCACGAATGACATTGAATATGGCGAGACCGGCGGCGCTTTGAAGAACGTTGGGAGGGATCTTGATCATCGACTTGCGAGTGAGACCTGTGGGGTGGAGAGGCCCTTTGCTGTTGCGAGATGTAGAAGAGCTGAGGTCTGAAAGTGCAAGTCAGTACTGTTCATTCTTATACATGCAGATAGGAACACTCACTGGTAAAAGAGTGAAGAATACGAGCAGCCTTGGCGCACTCCTTGTCCATAGTAGTAGGCCACCACCCTTCAGCTCCAATCAAGTTTGCAGCTTTGTTGAGCGGCGAACCAGCCTTGGAGCTGATTTTGTGGAAGCGTTGGCCTACAGTTGGCTTATTGTGAGGAACAGCATCTCGGTCTTGTGGTTGAGTATGGTAGTATTCTGTGTTGTCTGGTTGAATGCTGTAGGAGGGAGATTGACCGGCTTGTTTGAGAGGGTCAACATCGATGTAGCTGTTGGTGGGATGGGCAGTCATGATGAAAGATATATGGAATTGTATGAATTGAAGATGAATAAAAGGAAATTAAGGTGAAGGCTTGAGAGAATGTTATTGTTCTGGCCATCTTGATCCAGATCACTCATCCTTATATGTTAGACACCTTTCCGCCTAGCCCGCAGAGTGCCAGAAACGTCAAGTTATCAGGACTACAAAAGACAAAATTAGTAAATCAGCTTATGCTATTTAGATGTCACTTTTAGATCATTTATTTTTGTATCATACAACCCAGAGGTCAACGTTTCTGTCACCTGTGAGCCAACATGCCTTGCATTCTCTTCAATAAAGAGTCTACGCAATCTCATCCAACCAGATACTAAAACATCATCGCCCCCAGGCGAAGTAAAACGCGGCCGCCTAATATTGATGGATGTGTAGTGCGTGGACGGGAGGCGCAGCATTGTCATAAAAGGACTAAAGAGCGAAGCGAGAGCGAATGACGATCCGCGAATGTACCAAAAAGAGCGAGACTCACATGACAGCACGTGCTTTCTTACATAGGAGAGAATCAGAGCATTCCTTCCATCTTCGGAAAACAATCTTAGTTTCCTATAACATGTCGGTGTGGCTCAGTTGGTTAGAGCGTTGGTCTCATAGTTGTGAACCATGACTTGGTTGTAATAAATCAGGGTAATCCAAAGGTCGAGAGTTCGAGCCTCTCCACCGACATCCTTTTGCCCGTTGCATCGTCTGGAGGGATCTGCATGCCATGGATGGTTAATCAACAGCCGCCCCCAACCTCACAGACAGATCAACAGCGAGATAACTACTGGATTTTTTTTTTGTGCCTCAGTTATAGAATATCAGTTAGTGGTATCTGTAACTGAAGTTACTCTCGCTTTACGGTGGTGTTTCTGACTCTTGAAATGTCGCTAGACAAGTTCATGATACTGTAAACTTACTGCAACCAACAACATCCTCAACTTTCTCACTGAGCCAATGCCCTTTATCATTATAATGGAAGACAATTTACAACAACATCGATGCCGCATTTAGACTAGTTATCACGTACAGTAGCGTCTTGAGGAATACAATCCTGCTCATGGGATGGATAACAAACAATACACTCCGCAAGCCAAGAGGCTGTCTGCATGTCAAGTTGTTTCCTGCTAAACAGGTCAGCGGCTAGGTTCCTGATATATGGCAGTACAAACTATAGCAAACGGGTGCTCAAGTGAAGCAGCCACGATTTACTCTCAAGAGATGGACCCGTTTCGTGTCTTGCTTAGCACCACCACGAGGTTGGAACAATTTTGCAACCTCAACCTCCAACAAATTACCATCCGGTATGGTGTAGTGGCTAACATTTCGCGCTCTCATAACTTGAGAGATCAGTACCGCGGAGCCCAGGGTTCGATTCCCTGTACCGGAGTTTCCTTTTGCTATCCTTTTTACCTATAGGCGCATATCCTGCTTTGTTTCATCGGTCGACAAGCCTCTAGACAAGCGCTGGAGGGATTCAATTTTTAGTCCTAGTGGGTTCAACAGATACCACTGTCTCTGGCATATATGTGCTGTTTCTGTATTAATATTCTCTATCAGACGCTCTTCTTGTTCACAAGTGTTAGAGAGGTATCCTCTTTTACAATGAGAAGCCAGCAGCTCGAGAGGCTTTTCTCGAGAGACAGGAATTAATTACGAAGCGCACTATTACTCAAGTCTTTCTAGGCTAGAGAAACAACAATGAGCTATCTTACTCCCATTTTAATTATAGCACATTGCCAGTTATACACTCTTAGTACTGGACACTTGGGGTTTGCAAAATAGAGTATATACTTACCAAGACACTCACTACAGTTTTCACTGCCGGATAACACTGTTCTTGAGCTGCCTGATGCCTGCTCCTGCATACATCCTTGAGTTGTTGTCCTTCCTCTTCTGTAGGGGAGCAAAAAAAACTAACTCCGGTACAGGGAATCGAACCCTGGGCTCCGCGGATCGAGATGATTCTCTCTCATTTAATGAGAGCGCGAAATGTTAGCCACTACACCATACCGGATAATGGTTCATGATTGAGGGTGAGCAGTGGGCGTCTAAGATGCCGAAGCTCTCTCCTGGACAGCTACCAACGCAGTGCGTCTCCTGTCGTAGCGGATGGGATATATCAGTAGCCAATGTGTCCTGGTATCCTGAGTAGCGATGATTGTGTTGATAATGCAGGAGTTAGGGCAGAGTTGGCGATTGTTAAGTTAATCCCCGCACAGAAAGTAAAAGACAAGATTAAGCTCAAGCTTCAGATCGGAAACGTGGTTTCTCAAAATGGCAAGTCCTATCCCATCGATGTAATCATCGTTAGTCATCCACCAAAAGTTAGCAAACAACCCCCCTAGTAACTTCCATCTTGCTATCCCCTTTCCTCTCTATCAACAACGACATATTGCATAACTGTCTAGCGTGCACCATACCGGATGGAGCAGTTAACATAGCGTCATGGAATAGCAACTAGATCGTTCTTGTTGCACCGAGTTTAACAAAAGTCAACTGGGCAGACTACTTTAATGATAAGAGGACTGGCTGTCTAGCCCTATTGTACTTTAGCCCACTGTCTGTCTTACTGGTCATATATAACGACTCTATATTTGGGGGCATCGGCATAGTCATCAAGGCATAGGATATATAATACAATTGCCTATAGAACTGAGGAATTCCATTGACATATAGCATTAGAATAATAATTGGCCAGTGTCATTATGAAAGTAAGGCTATTCCTTCTGTAAACAACGTAAACTTGATTGTTGTTATATATTGAAAGAAGTACACTTTGGGTTATGCCTTGTTCTGGTTTAATAGGAAAACACTTGAGGGTTGACGAAAGGTACATACAGACTAAACACAAACCGGTCGGACTCGAGCGCAGTCTTAGGCTCAGTTATATAAAAAGATTATAACAAGTGATGCCTCGTGCCAGAGTGGTATTAATCTTGATCAGCCTTTTGGAAAGTTTGCAAGCGGCTGGCACTAACACCGGTATCTTTATAGGGGCGAGATTAGAACTACGCTTCATAGGTGACTGTGAGCGCTGTTGTTTTTATTAATTACCTTTATTGATGGCCTGAGGTGGGCTTGGTGAATCACTGTTGGCCGGTGATGCGGTTTGTCACTGCTGCCAGCTGCCAGCCGCACATCTGTTTGTTTATATCCCAATCCCCCTCCACTCCCCTGTTCAATCCCAATTCTCAACATTAACATCAACTTCAGGAGCCTCTTCACTTGCTGGCCTCTCCCTTCCAGAGGTTGTGCTTGTTAACCTCGCTTCCTGCTTGCGATCTATACAAAAGTTAGTATTGGGATATCGCCATCTATTTGTGAGTTTTGTCAGCCGACTGCGCGTAAGAAACATCTGCTAATATGATCCAGAGACAAAGAGGTCCAAGGCATGCTACAAAATGGCCGCTGAAGGATCAGACCTAAATGTCTCGTCGCAAGAGCCTTCACAACAATCTTCGACACCCTCGGCTATGGCTGCTGGGCCACAGTTGATAGGAGCAACGTATCTGATGACGCGAGAGAGAGCCATGGCGCATGCTGGCGACATCGCCAAGAACCTAGGGCATCGAGGCTTTGATCAAGCATCTCTTGTCTCACAATTGAACGAATGGCTATCGCTGCCTGTGATCAAAGTGCTCAGCGAGGACATGAAGAACAGAGTCTCTATTTGGTGCCAACAGCACAGCCGGGGATGGCTTGATGCAATTCGGGACGCAGATGAAGACATCATGGAATATAAATATTTTACCCTCGAAGAGCCGGCTACTACGATCCCGACTATTCAAAGTGCTACCGAAGAGAACATTCGCCAATGGATGCAAGAGATCCTGCACGAGCAGCGGGAATCCACAGCCAAAATAATGGCCAAGATTGATGGTTTACAGCACCCAGACCAAACCTCTCCAGCTGGACCTCCTACCAAACGCCGGCGGACAAGCACGCGAAGCATTTCAAAGAACGTGGTGATGGACAATCTTTAGAAGATTGACGAGGGGTTATGCCATCTCCTGGGAGAAGACAGCGAGCTCCTTCAGTGTTTCCGCGACTATGCTGTCAGTGTTGACCCAAACTTTCCCGATGCTGGATCAAAGTCCAGCGGAAAGGCTTTCTGGTCAAAGGGCCAACTAGAGAACTTCCGAAAAGAAGCGCGGGAGTTGGGACTCGGTATCCTCGAATACAAGCTTCTCGACCGAACAGTCCAGGAAATGGATGAAGGCGGTCTGAGCATGGCGAACATTGCCGCACTATCTCGCCAACTGGTGTCTCGGGAACAGTACGAGAATTTGGAAGCCAAGTTCCCGTTCCCAATTGTTTGCGACCAAGAATAAGAGTGGTAGATGTGTATAATGAGAACCATTGTGGCTTACGCAGGGGAAGGCCATGGGGCAGAAATCATTTGGTCAAGAATGGGAGCTCGTGGAAATTGTCTAGTTGCTAAGTGTGTTTGGAACATCAAGTCCCAGGAGATTTATATAGAGATGGTCGGCAAAAACGGGGTAATAGGGATCTGTTGAGATGGTGTTTATAGAGAATTTAGTCGTACCTCAATAAGCACAACTCTAACAAGGTCTTTAGCAAGCGAGAGGCGGACTTTGATTGTGGCTTTTGTATTGAGTATGTGAATATGGGCAAGGTAAATGTCGTTAGTCTTGATATATGGTGTTGAGACCTTGGAGGTTATTTTGTCAAATCGACGTCGAATTTGTGTATAAAGGTCGACATGCTACTGAGGTCACCAAACTAGCATCAATCACGTACTGTCTTCGTGTCTTGTGTGCTTCTCATCGCGTTTTAATGTATCGGCTAGTGGGTAGCAGAAAAGCTGGCCTCCCAAGTCTTGAGGTATGAAAACAAATCGTCCAAGGTTTGGTCTCAATAGCATAAACTAGCCTGCTAATCTCGTCTCTTAGCTCCTAATACCCTGAGGATTAGTGATGATTAAGAAACGACTCGGATAGCGAGGAGAACATATGCTGCAAGGATTCTGATACGAAACGGATTGTGGGAGAAAAGGCCAACCGTTCGAAACTAGCCGTGGACGAATAAGAGCAAAGGAAACGACACGCGGAAACGAAAGAAGGGTACAGCGATATATGATACGCGTATAGTTGCTGTTTGGCAAGGGTGCATTGGACATGCATTAACGACGTTTCCTTATGAATATCTGTTGTACGAGGAAGTGATTCTGCCTGAACGAGGCGAATTGACTTTTGTTGACTTTTGATAGACGGTATCTTTAGGTCACGAGGATTGAATGAGTTGTCATGAGTAGAGATTACTTGAGTGCGTGCAGAAATGACGAAGGACCCCAACTCCTTGTTACGTCATGGGATAAAGTTAGGGGTTCACTTCAAAAAGGACAGCCCTGGAGCTCCATTTCTAGCTGTCATCCGCCGCTGCCTCCGCTGTAACCCCAAACCAATTCCCCATCGATCGACCAAATATTTAGGTCCCTTAGTAAAAGGATTCAAACAAACAAGTATTGTCACTTCTTGGCTGTCTTGCAGTTACGTCGCTCCTTTTTCCCCCCTTCCCTTACAGAGTTGTATCTGCCGCTCTTCCTTCTATATTACCCCTCGATAAGTCACGACCCCTTCTCAACGTCGTTGACGACACCACAAGTCTAAAAGACAAGCTACTTTTAGCTCCCTCGGAGCCATTCGCTGTTGTCTCACATTTACGACAAACTTGACTCAAGTCTTGTTTCTGACTTTCCGTCCTCGCCGAGCGACTACTCCAACATAATAGTTCTACTGAACGTTGCCGAATGAATCCTCAACATTGAGCGCGACATAACACCACACAACACCGCGACCATGAGCTCTTCGATAGAGACTCTTCCTAATGGGAATGGCCATGCTGGCGAACATGACCATGTCCTTCGTCCTCGACCGCGCAAACCGAAGCATTCACAAGTCTCTGATGTTGTTCGCATGACGACAAGCGATGGTGAACACCTAATGCCCGATAACGCCAGCACAGGATCAGCAAGTGGTTTGACTAGGTATGAAGATCAAATCTTCAACGAGCCCAAGCTAATTGTATACAGTGGTCGCTCTACACCCGTCCCAGAGAATGCGCCTCCATCCGTCAAGTCCCTTTCTACCGCTCGAAAACAAGTTCGCGCCGAGCAACGCCGCCGTATATTCCCCACGATCGAGTTCGCCTCACGCGTGAGTCACTTCGACCCCGAGAGTGATTATAGAGACTTCCATGGCTTCTTCAACTTGTTCTGGATCGGTCTTGCCATTATGGGCATCACTTCCATGTTGCGCAATCTTAAAGATACTGGCTTTCCTCTGAGAGTGCAAATATGGGGTCTCTTTACTGTCAAGCTTTGGCACCTTGCCATTGCTGATTTTCTCATGGTTGCGACGACTGCTGTCAGTCTACCTCTGAACCGTGCGGCAAGGAAAGCCAAGCCAGGCAGCTTTCTGGACTGGGATCGAGGTGGAATTGCTATCCAGAGCATTTACCAGGTTGCTTGGCTCACTCTTTGGATCATTGTCCCTTTCTACTTTGAGTGGACGTGGACCTCCCAGGTGTTCTTCCTCCTACATACCATGGTCCTTCTGATGAAGATGCACTCTTATGCTTTCTACAACGGACACCTATCGCAAACGGAGAAGCGATTGCACGCTCTCGATAACCCTTTCTCGCCTCACGACCGACGTCCCGCTTATCAATACCCCAGCACCGATTTGCCTGCCAGCGTCACAAAGGTAGAATCTACTAGTACCAGCGCTAAGAAGCGTCGTCGACAACGGCAGAAGAAGCAAGAAGCCAAGCAAAATGGTATCAACGGTCACAAGAGCAATGATGATGAACCTATCAACCATGACCTCCTAGCTCCCAGCCCCGTCGCCAGCCCCAACAACAGTGCCGATGAAGTCGACGAGTTAAGAGAGGACCTCGCCCGCGAGCTTACGAGTCCCATTGGCAATGTCACTTACCCAAACAACCTGACTTGGTCCAACTACACGGATTACATCTTTTGCCCGACGCTCTGTTACGAGATCGAGTACCCCCGAACATCACGCATTAACTGGATTAATCTGATTTCCAAGATTGTCGCCACATTTGGCTGCATCTTTCTCTTGACCATTATTTCAGAAGACTTCATCCTACCAGTCCTTTTGGATGCCTCGGAACGTCTCGATGCCGTGCCGGCAGTATCCTCCGTGTCTGAGAAGCTTCTCATCTTGGCCGAGACCATCTCATGGCTTCTTTTCCCTTTCATGCTTACATTTCTCCTCGTTTTCCTTGTCATTTTCGAATATGTCCTTGGCGCATTCGCTGAAATCACCTTTTTCGCTGACCGACACTTTTACTCTGACTGGTGGAACTCGACAGATTGGATGGAGTTCTCCCGTGAATGGAACATTCCTGTCTACAGCTTCCTCCGACGTCACGTTTATAGCGCTTCTCGACCTCGAATTGGTAGAGGCGCTGCCACTGCTCTTACTTTCCTCATCTCGGCATTTGGCCACGAGATAGTCATGGCATGTATTACAAAGAAGTTCCGTGGATATGGCTTTGTCTGCCAAATGCTTCAGCTACCCATTGTTATGCTTCAGCGTACACGATGGGTTCGTGGCAAGGAAACCTTGAACAATGTCTGTTTCTGGGCTTCAATGGTTCTTGGTCTCAGCATGGTAAGTTTACTTTGTTCCCCCTGAAACGCCACTAACAAAGTCATAGATTTGTGCTCTCTACGTTCTTGTGTAGTCGATGCATATTTGCACCGAATTGCAATTGCACGAATATGCTGGCCATATCTAGCGATTGTTGAATTCTCGAACTGAAGGAGAAACGGTCCCATAGGAATCTTTATTTACCACGTACAAGTACAAGAGTGGTCGTTCAGGGCCAGCACAGGATTGGACTATTGTTTACCACATTATAAAGATAGATAGATAGATACCCCCATAGTCAATAGTGACTTTTGTTCTTTCAAGTCTTACGTCAATCTATGTATTGAATTGCACTATATACCTACAAGTATGTATGTTTGCCAGATATCAGGTTTATGTCCAACCACTAGGCATTAGACTGATTGCACCCGTACTATCTACTACTTAGCACCAGCTTTGCTACATCCAGTCTCCATGCTAGTCCAGACATATGGCTTCACAACAACCTTATTGTCTGACCCAAAGGCAATCCCCTGTTGAACTCCTGTCTTTGGCGTCGGTTTCCATCCCTTCCGTGTCAAACCCGCAGAAGGATCCTGCGCAAAAGCAAGCCAATAATCCTGCATAGCGTGGCTGACCTCGTACTCAAACTTGCTTGACTTTCCACGGGCTTCGTCATGAGTTCCCATGATCAGTGGTAGCTCGGCGCTGTGGAACGCACCCTCTCCTCCAGGCATAATGTTGGTAAAGTTGGGGGAATACATATATCGCCATGTGTTTGCGCCTGCTGAAGATCGAAGGATAGTCTCGTAGTGCGCCGGGCAGTGGAAGGTATTATCGGGCTTGGCTTGATCCGAAGACTGGTCTCCTTGCGCTGGAGGGTCAGTCAGGTCTCCTTCGTCTCGGTTTGTTCCAATGATCGTAGGCTGATGAGACGGTCAGTATTGATAGACAGGAGGCTGAGGTCAACTTACAAGTTTGGCAACATTGGGGATTTTGTCAGTGTAGTCGGAGAACACAGTCCGTTCATCAACAACAGGGACAAAGCTCATAGTCTTTGCTTCCTCGACATGTCTCTGGAGATCCTTGAAAGGAACACGTCGTAGACACTCAACATAGTCACGCCTGCATCCGAACGATTTGGCAAGCGAAGTAAAGTTGCTCTTCGTGTCATCATTTCCCCTCAACCCGAGGAAAGCAGATCCCGAGTCCTCAATGTATCCAGCAGCGATGGGAGTGTGGGGATACGCATACTGGTAGAATGCCACAGAAGCGGCGCCGGCGCTCTGGCCCCAGAGAATAATACGTTTGGGATCACCACCGAAGCGCGATATGTTGTCGTTGACCCATTTGACTGCGAGACGTTGGTCAAGGAATCCCAAGTTCTGCTGTTTAGGGTTAAGACTGGGGGCATTGGGGAAGCCAAAAACTCCGAGACGGTAACTAAGTAGCAGAGCGATTAGTATACAACTTGTGAGAGTGAGCGATGACATACTTGATGCTGACAACAATGTGCTTTTGACTTCTCTCAACCCAGTTCTTGGGGATCTGATAAACAATATCACCACCGCCCTGCACTTATTAGATCAAGCCATCTCACGTAGAATGCAACACATACCGATGCGAAACCTCCTCCATGGATCCAAACAATCACAGGAAGCAGTTTCGCTTTGGGGCAAAGGGCCTGCTCCGGCGCCCAGACATTCAGGAAAAGACAACTCTCGCTCGTGCTGTTATGCTTGATGAGAAACTCGGGAGCCCAAGGACCGCCAACACCAGGTTCACTCTGAGCACAATTAGGACCAAACGATGTAGCCTTGAGTGTTCCGAAATGGCCACTAGGTATGGCTGGCTCCCATCGTCGATGTTCACCATAAGGAATACCGAGAAACTGGGCAACGTTGGAGGAGTCGTCTTTGAAACCTTCCAGCACACCGTTTTGAGTCTTGACTTTTAGACTTGCAGCGCAAATATCACTAGCCAGTGCAACGGCCAGACCTGAGAGGACGGCCAAAACGTTAAAGGCGCCCATCTGCATAGTTGGCTATTGGTGTCTACAAACTATCTAGACAATAACGGTGAGTACAGCACAGAATTCAACGGCTTTATAGTCGCACCAAGTCCACCATACAAGGATTGAGCCGAACCGACTGCTCTTTCTGCAACAGCCGAGTCCAATATGCGGGGGAATATCTGGGTCTGATGTAGTATTCCGGCGATCATGTCCAAGACTGTATTGCCGACCCGACTACCATAGATCCGAAATTCAAAAGGTTGGGAAGTTCAACCAGTCAACTCAAGTACCTGCAGTTAATAGATGAATGTACAGTCATAGCCAGGTTCAGTCACAATGATTCACAAGTTGTTCTATACCATTTCCATTTCGCATCTACTTCATCTCTCTCGTGATCATAGAGCTAACTAGAGTTACACCTCGTCCTACTTCTAGAACTGAGGAATTATGGCAGATAAGGCGGCTGCTCAAATCCGACAAGTCCGCATAAAAACCAGAAAACAAAGACCTTGTTGCTCATAAAAACCGAAACCCTTCAACTCCGTTGACTTTTTATGGTATCCCGTTTAGAATGCATTGATCGTTTAGTCGACCTCCTCCATGGCGCTGTCACCCGCGGCGGCAGCGACAGGGGCGTCGGTAGCATCAGCATCAGCAGGAGCGGAGTCATCCTCCTCAATGTTGAGGCCGAGCTGGACAAGCTTGTGGATGCGGTCGGCGAAACCAGCAGGCTCCTCAATGGTGAAGCCAGAGACAAGGAGAGAGGTCTCGAAGAGGAGCTGAACGATGGACTTGACAGTGCGGTCATTCTCACCGTCGTTCTCAACCTTCTTCTTGAGCTCCTGGACGATAGCAGACTTGGGAGAGATCTCGAAAGTCTTCTTGGAGGACATGTAGCTGGACATGGAGGTGTCACGGAGGGCCTGAGCCTTCATGATACGCTCCATGTTGGCGGACCAACCGAACTGACCAGTTCGGATAGCGCAAGGAGAGGAGCCGAGCTTGTGAGAGACGACAACCTTCTCGACCTTGTCGCCGAGGACGTTCTTGAGAGACTTGGCAAGGTTCTCGTACTCCTTCTCCTCCTCCTCACGGGCCTTCTTCTCCTCCTCGGTCTCCTCGAGCTCAAAGTCCTTGGTGATGTCGACAAGCTTCTTGCCCTCGAACTCCTTGAGCTGAGTCATGGCGTACTCATCAATGGGGTCAACGAGGAACAGAACCTCGAAGCCCTTCTCGCGGAGAGCGTCAAGGAAGGGAGACTTGGAAACAGCGTTGATGGACTCGCCAGTGATGTAGTACATGTTGTTCTGGTGCTCGGGCATGCGAGTGACGTAGTCGGTGAGGGAGGTAAGCTCATCACCAGACTTGGTGGAGTTGAATCGGAGGAGCTTGGCAAGGATGGATCGGTTCTGGGAGTCCTCGTGGATACCAAGCTTGAGGTTCTTGGAAAAGGCGCTGTAGAACTTGTCGAACTGCTCCTTGTCCTCGGCGATCTCCTGGAAGAGCTCAAGAGACTTCTTGACGATGTTCTTCTTGATGACCTTCATGATCTTGTTCTGCTGGAGAGTCTCACGAGACAGGTTGAGGGGGAGATCCTCAGAGTCGACAACACCCTTGACGAAGCCGAGCCACTCAGGGATGAGGTCGGTAGCATCGTCGGTGATGAAGACACGGCGGACGTAGAGCTTGATGTTGTTCTTGGTCTTCTTGGTCTCAAAGAGATCAAAGGGAGCGCGCTTGGGAACGAAGAGGATGGCACGGAACTCGAGCTGACCCTCAACGGAGAAGTGCTTGACAGCAAGGTGGTCCTCCCAGTCGTTGGAGAGGGACTTGTAGAAGGAAGCATACTCCTCTTGGGAGATGTCCTGAGGGTTGCGAGTCCAGATGGGCTTCTGCTTGTTGAGCTCCTCCTCCTCGATCTTGGTCTCCTTGATCTTCTTGGTCTTGGGCTTCTTCTCCTCCTCATCATCATCGACCTCCTCGATCTTGGGCTTCTTGTCATCACCCTCCTCGGTGACCTCCTCGGCCTCCTCATCGGGGACCTCCTTCTCGGTCTCCTTCTCGACGTGGAGGTAGATGGGGTAAGAGATGAACTCGGAGTGCTTCTTGATGACCTCCTTGATCTTGCTCTCGTTCAGGTAGTCGGTCTGCTCCTCCTTGAGGTGGAGGATGATGGAGGTACCGCGGCCGAGCTGCTCGCTGTCGGTGTCCTCGGTGATAGAGAAAGTACCACCAGCGCTGGACTCCCAGATGTACTGCTCGTCATCGTTGTTCTTGGAGATGACGGTGACACGGTCGGCAACAAGGTAGGCGGAGTAGAAACCGACACCGAACTGACCAATCATGGAAACATCGGCACCGGCAGTGAGGGCCTCCATGAACTGCTTGGTACCGGAGCGGGCGATCGTACCCAGGTTGTTGACAAGGTCCTGCTTATCGTTAGTACTGTAACAGGCAACTAGTAGGCGGTTCAACTTACAGCCTTGGTCATACCAATACCGGTATCCCGGATGGTAAGGGTCTTGTTGGCCTTGTCGGGGATGATGTCGATTCGGAGGTCCTTGCCAGACTCAAGCTGGCTAGGGTCCGCAAGGGACTTGTATCGGATCTTGTCTAGGGCATCGGAGGCGTTGGAGACAAGCTCTCGGAGGAAGATCTCCTTGTTGGAGTAGACGGTGTTGATGATAAGAGAGAGAAGCTGAGAGATCTCAGCCTGGAACTCGAAAGTCTCAGACATGGTGTCGGGTATCAAAGGGAATTCGTGACTGTTAAAGACGTTAGAAACTGGAATAAGAATTGAATTTATAATTGTAAAAGTTTGGTCGGTGAGGTGGGCAGAATGGAGGGGTACAGAAAGCTCTAGAAATCGAACTTCACCAGGAACCACCAGCGTAAGCAGAAATAGCGAATCTAATAAACAGTAGTCTGCTGGAAGATTCTGAAGCTATTTGAGCTGCAACAGAGGTTTACCAAAGAATGGTGAAGAAGAATTCTAAGCAAGCTGCGTGCAAGGCTGATAGATGTGTAGCGGGGGACGCAACGGCAAAGACGTACCTTGAGATATTCGTTACAAAAAGGAAAAGGCTAAAGACAAGATTGCTCGTCTAAAGTTGAGTGAATCTCCTGGTGAGAGAGAAAAGGAGAATGTTCAAAAGCGTGAGAGAGATGTGATGTTTGGAGAGAAAGGGAAGAAAGGTCGAAGCAGAGGCAGTACAAGAAAAATATGTAGGCTGGCGGCCGGCCCCTCCTTCCTTCCATCTGGTTCTCCCAATGTGAAGGGTTCCATGAGATTCCACGGCCCCAGAGTCCACCTAGCGCCGCCTACAGCTGCCTTCCCCCGCCTTCCGTTACCCATGTTTTACTGGTACTGAGGGGCACTGGAAGGCAGCCATAGCAACCGCCCGACTTTTACACGCACTACGGCAAGTGGCCAACGCTATCACTGCAGTTTGCCTCTTCTCTGACTTGTCTGGTCTCCATTCCATTTGCCTTCCATCCATTGTATCCTCTCATCTTTGCGCTTTACAGTGAATGGGATGGTACGTATACGCTTACTCCAAAAAAATGTATCAAGGGACTAGGCGGCAAAGTCCACGTTTGTCTAGTACGATCTCGATTGATTGGCCAGACTTTGCTAGAGTCTTCCACGTTTTTAAATGCATCGCCTCAGAATGTTCATCTTTTGCGAATTCAAGTACCACAAGCTCCCGAATCAAATATTAGACTATCACGATAGCGGGAACAGAGATTTCACCGATCTACATGATTCATCCAAATTTTCTGTGATGGCGAATTCCGTTCATTGTTTGTCAGTAGCAGAAGAGCCTCATTATCGTTATTGTTTTGTCTTCGAGTAGTCGAGGGTCTACAAGACAACCCCTCATTCGAGGCTGAAAAGGACCCCTGTTCTTCATGTTCCTAGACTTTCTAGCAAGGTCCACCGCTTCCTTTCCCCGGCAAAAAAGACGACCCCTCGATCTGGTCGAATCTTCTAGCCATCCAGACAGGCGGATGATTGTGTTGCCTGGCGGTTTTGCTTGAAAATGGATCCAATTGAGGCCCGTCAATCATAACAAGTTGGGCTGTAGCTGTGCTGGGCCGTTGCAATTTATGCATAAACCAATAAGATTTGTTATCGAAACTAACAAGGCTGAGTACAGACGGTTGAGGTACCAATGGGGGCCAAAAATGAGGCGGGCTGCAGGAGACTTGAGATTGCCTAGAGCCCAGAACATCAAGATCTGACACCCAAGGCTTAATTGCCGTAACTGGGAGTTTCCGTAATTGCCCCTGCTGGTTTCCAGATCCAACAATCATGATGATAGCAGCCGACATGAATAGAAACCAGCCCAAAATTTCACGATGGGGAATATTCGTACAATTCGATAATACATCTCTCATAATCATACATCGTGAACCTTCGAGAAGCGTACGATAACTCCTTGCTCTCCACCCTACCCTATATCGTTACACACAGCTTACAGTCTAACATCATACTCTTATACCAGCTTTTGATATATCATTTACATCTCCAACACTCCTCCAACCTGTCTATATTTCCTATCCGCATACACAAGTCCAAAATCCTCATCCTCTTCTTTTTCAACTCTCACCATCTCCACCACCTCTCCAACCACAATGACATGATCTCTCACTCTCATAAGACCCTCTTCAGGTGCATCCTTTAGCACCCTACACCGTAGTGCAAACATGACGCCCTCCTCTTTCAAAATAGGTGCTTCATCACCGTTTTGAGTATAATCAAGCCCTTGGAATGCATGCCCGCCAACATTACCCTTTGTAAAGTGACTCGCTACACTTGCGCCCCGCTCATCCCCAGAGAGAACGTGCACGTTAAACTCCCCGCTCGCTCTTATAGCATCCAGCGTTCTGCTCGGTATCGCAATGTTGAAGTTAACAAGAGGTGTCGGTGTAAGTGTAAGAGAGGTAAACGATGACATTGTCATGGCCCGTGGGCCATCGTCAGGTTGGTTGGACGTGCATACCACCACACTGTGGGGGAGAAGACGCATTATAGAGCGGAGCTGTTCGGGGAGAGGAACTTGTTTGGTCGGATGAACGGTCGGAGGAGTGGCTGGTGATGTATGCCATGGTTTTGAGGTGGAAGTGTGATTTCTTCTATCTATAGTACACATCATTAGCTAGAGTATCAATAAGGACGATGAGAGCTCACTCTGAATAGGCCATTGGTACGAATAAGACCTTGATATTGACCCAGAAGGTATCTCATAGCCTTCACGTCCCACTAAAGACCTTCTCCAACGTTCAACATTCCGTAGAGAGCCCAACCCTCTTGTCCCGCCTCTCGTCATGACAAGTGCTGTCGCAGCGCCATTGCGCAGCGCTAGGGAGCTCTTCATTGCCCAACACAGCGCATTATCAACAAATGTACTTGCGGGAACCGTATTGATCGCTCTGGATCCTCTCTGCGATCGAAAGAAGAAAGGCACGTTTTATTTCACTCGTTTCGCAAGCTTAGGACTCCGACGCCAGTCTCGAAATGACGAGCAACAATTGCCATTTTCTTATCGATAAGCTTCCGAACCCCTGCCTGGTGGTACCCGCCTTCGGACCTCGCATCCTAAATTTTACCGATCAACTTCAAGTCGATCTAAAGCTGTATCACCAGCCAAACGGCAGTCAATCGTTCTATATCCCATAGCCAGGGCCGCTAATTCGTGTCCTCCGGCCTCGCTCGCAGCAGCACTTTATATCAAAATGGCCAAATTCTCCGTCTCACCAGCGACCCTGTCGCCTATCCGAACAACGCTGTCAACATCATCATATTCACCAAGCCGCTTATCCCTTGGCCAAGTCCGTCATGCGACCTTCATTCCCCGACCTCGTCGACCCTACACATTTACCCAGCTCGTCACGCTGTCAGACGGCTCCGCATACACCATGCGAACTACCTCACCACTGCCCATCTACCGCGCCGCCAAGGACACACGCAACACACTGCTGTGGCAGCCATCCGAGAAGTCACTCAAGAACGTCGAGCTCGATGAGGCTGGTAGATTGGCTGCTTTCCGAGAGCGTTACGGCCGTGCCTACGATGCCTCTAGCACCGAGGAAGGCGGAGAGAATGCCGAGGCTGCCGAGGATGCGGACGGAAGTTATGCGGATCTTATCACTGGATATGCGCCAGCACAAGATGCAAACACTATGAGAGATTCAGGTCCCAAGAAGCAGGCCAAGAAGAGAAAGTAAACGAAATTATATTGGAACTAAACAGAGGAGGAATGACCACCGCAACATTATTCTCTACCCAGATTCTTCAAAGGGTATAAATGTGTCTTGTATAAATTACTACTGGCAAGGTCCGAGAATTGGAAGCATGAGGTGGATGGGGGTGGTTTGATATGTACAACAGTTGACGGCCCCCGAGGCTTGTAAGATATAAAAACACGTGCCCACGATTCTCGAATTGATCAATAATCAAACGACCCCATAGGTGTGAATATGACCCTTCCGTCTTCTCTTCGACTTCATTCCCAAGAGACAGAACTGTAGCAAGGCGCTAGGGACAGAGGGCTCACATGAACCTAATCAGAGTCTTCGTCTATCCTTGCTCGAGCACGGTCGACGGCAGTATCACCCCCTTTTTGCTGTTGCTGCTGGTATACTGGTGGTCTATAAAACACTGACTCGTCGTCTTCAGCGTCAAGTTGCATCAAAAAGGTTTCCCACTTCTCGATAAGCTATGACTGTCAGCACTCTTCTCACATGCGCGATGTTGTTAACTTACTTCCTTTTGTGCTTCAACTGCACTCTCGAGGAATGTCTCAACTCCGCTTTTAAAGTCTTCCACCTTCTCCTTCTCAAATCGGTCGAGTTCGCTCCTCATCAGTCGTCCCATATCCTCGAACAGGAGCCTAGCTTGGTGTACCTTGCGCTCTGACTCGCCCACTTCGGCACTCATTTGATTGAGTCGGTCTTGCTGACTCTTTCCTTGCCTCAGCAGCTTATCCTGAGTAGCCTTCTTCTTTTGCAGTTCTGATTCAGCAGTGTGCCATGAATAGAAAGCCTTTTGTCGCTGGCTGAATGCCATCTTGACTGAACCAATGAGACGAATGTACTCCTCAAGAATAATTCCAAATGTCAGAACATCCTGTTGGGCCTGACGATCGTAGACATCTCGAATAGTAAGCTGGAGCTCAGAGAGAGCATCAAGAGGACCTGATAGTGATGGGGACAGCTCCACAGTAGAGAGCGCATGAAGGGAAGCCGAAAAGTCACCAGCTGCCTCAGCCATCATCTTGCGCTGCCCAACCATAGTCTCCATTGCTTTAAGTAGACCCTTGAGCTGGTTCTCGAGGGCGTCAAGATAGACTTTACGGTCGTGGAACCAATCATCCTGCTCCACAAACTTGTTGCCGCCTCCAACATTGATACCCAAAGAACCCAGTACGCCCTTGCTCTCGGTGGGAATAGGATCTCTCCTTTCCTTGTGCTTGATATCCACATTAAAGGTCTCGCTTTCCAAGAAAAGCTTCAGATCGGGGTCGTGCTGTAGCGTGGGGTGTATCGCGGTCTTGTTGAGCATTTTCTCGAGTGCGGCTCGGCGGCTTTCAACAAAGTTACTGTCAAAGCGACCAACAGCCTGCTTGTCCGGGGGTGGTGGGACGACGATGCCAGGGTTATTACCGTGGAGAGTATTATAGAGCCACAGGAAATCACGGTATCGGCGTTTGACTTCGAACTCGGGTTGCTTGTATCCCTTAGAAGTGGTCTGTTTCTAGGTCAGTCTCAATTGAGGCAATTGAATATTCGGGGTTTGTACCTTGGTTCTGACAGAGTAGACGATATGAGAACTAGTCAAATCGCCGACTTTGTGAGGATCACCAACGTAAATCTGGAAAGTAGGCTTGGCGGCCTGTTCAATGCTAACACTAGGCTGGTTGCTGCTCCTTATAGCACTAGGCTGCGCAGCTTCGACGGGTGGAGGTGCGCGAGGAGCCTTTGGACCGTCATTTACCTCGTCGTCGATATGGTTAGGGTCCGCAGGTCGTCGCTGCTGTTGCGGTTGAGGCATGGTGGTACGAATCACCATCTGCTCCTTTTGCGGAGGCACCGGAGGGGCATCCTGAGCGGAACCATTGTCTTCGGGGACGGCACCGAGGGGACCAAGAGGATCGTCGACAGCTTCGAGACGTGTGGGTTGAGCGACCAGGCGACGGGGCCCTCTCGACGGACGAGGGGCGGATGAGGAAGCGGGAGCTGGGGTAGGTGATTGCGAAGCGGAGGCCGAGGCTTCAGGCTGCGACGCCTGTTGCGAAGCCTGTGATGAATCGGCCCAGGGCGACTCTTCGACATCCATAGCTAATTAATGCGACCACGAAACTTGAAGCTAAGCGTCTGCTGTCGTGATATATAGATGGGGTTAGAAGTGACTTGAGAGGTGAAGGTTGGAAGCTTGGAGAGCAAGCACCCACGCAGCCGGACGTCAGCGGAGGCGGTTCCACTCTTCCCCGTACGGTAGGTACGTATCGAACAGGCTACAAGCTGTGCCGTTTCATCACAACTTACACTACTTGTAATCGCTCACATTAGACAAATGAGTACATACTACTAATGGTATCATCAGTTAATTTCTGTTATTACGGTAACCTAATAAAATTATAAGAGCCTCAAGCATCAGCCAAGAATTATCAGCTACCTGTAATTCTAGTTCTTCAAAAAAGCCTGGATGCAACGCTTTCACCTGGATCTATCTAGCAACGTAATGCATCACAGCCACGGCCTGTTTCTGGTTGATCGAATCACGATCATGCTTCCCGTGCCTGTCTGTTCACATTCACCCCATTTGTTCCGTCCGTCTTCGCCTCGGGCTATTCGCGAGCTGTCGCCCTCAGGTCAAGATCTATTCCAAACTGAGCGGCAAAAAATCGCTTTCGTTGTTTCTCAAGCGCAACTGGGTCGGTAACCTCTCGCTCCTAACGCTCGGGGTCGTAACAGCCTCCCACAATTACCAAGTTCATCCGTGTAAATTTGACCTTCATCACTGGCGTCTTCTTTGTTGGAAACGCGCTGATTTGGTCGGGGGTTATCATGACCTCCTTGTTCTTTTTCTTATGTGTTCCGGTTGTACCACTGCCTCCACTTTGCCCTGAAGTAGCAGCTGCAACACGAGAACCCTCGCCAACGGCACCTCCAGTATTCGTGCCATCCGCTCCCGTTGTTGTCGCGTCATTTCCAGTCTGCTGCTGGCTGGCCTTTTGTGGATCAGCGGGCAGTTCGACATCCCATAGTCGAACTGTGCCATCTTGACCACCAGACGCAAGAACGTTGGATTCAACACTGAAGCTCAGCGACCAGATACCACCTTTACCATGACCACGTGACCGCTTGATGCGTGTTCCTTTAGCAAGGTCCCAAAAGAAGATGTTACCTGCACAATCGGCACTTGCTAGGATCTTGCCATTTGGCGCGCATTCCATGGCGCTGATGTAGTCGTTATGACCTGTAAAGACACGCACGCAAGAGCCGCTCAACACAGACCACATACGGATTGACTTGTCGGTCTCATCCGAGGCCGAAAACACGTAAAGACCGTTAGGATGCCATGTCAGCGCCGAGATGGCCGTATCATGACCGACCAACAGTCGTTGAGGAGAAGCATGATCTTGCATCCACACACGGAGAGCCTTGTCATACCCTCCACTGATAAAGTAGTGCCCGTGAGGGCCCCAGAGTGTTCTGAATACAGGCCCGTCGTGAGACTTGTAAAGACAAAGACAGCTCCAAGACTCCAACGACCATAGACGAATCTGGCCATCCGCTGATGCAGATAGTAGAAGCTTGGGTCGCGTGTCCATTGCTGGGTTTGACTTGCCTTCGTCGCCAAAGAGCTTCTGTGGGGGTCCTGACGCGGCGTCAGAGAAGGAAACATCGTACACAGGGCCGGAGTGTCCGATGAGCTTGCGGCTGTTAAATTTGGCATCCTTCTCATGTGGATTCATGGTGGGAAGGGCCTTGCCATCTAGCGACCATACTCGAATATAAGACTCAGTAGTGCCTGCCGCCACTAGCTGCCCATCGTTGGAAAAGTCCATAGAGGCAACACTGCAATCCGTTAGTGTGGGCTATCCACCGTTTTGTCAGGACTACTTACCTTCCAAGTGTGTTGTGGAAAGTGAACATGCATGCGCTGATCGGTACACCCACACCTCCTGTTGCGCCATCAATCTTGAATCTGTCGCGGTTCTCTCTGAGCTTTTGCATCTCGAGCATAATATCTCTTGGCCTGGACGGCGGCAGAGGCAGCTCTGCTCTGCTAGGGGCATCGGCACTCTCCTCTCGCTTTATCTTCTGGTCAAATTCGTCCACTAGTGATGCTTTCCCAGGAGGAGGTGGGTTTCTTCGCTCATCATCCTCAAGCTCTGCACGCACATCGTCGCGAAGATCTGCGTCCATGGGCAAGGGCCCGAGCTTTAAAGTAGTAGATGGGTCCGTAATGTCCTGGTTGGACAACCCGATATTGACACCTGGGATGCCTTCGTTGGTATCCACGCTCTCGACTTCCGTATTTCTTGAGCGTCTATAGACAGCCTCAAAGCTGAAGGGAGTGATAGGTCCACGAGCTGTAGAGTCAATCTGGCAGTATGTCGCCAAGAGCTGTCGGATGACCGAACCACCTTGGTCAGACTCGCGTTCCAGGAAGTTAAAAAGATCGCCACTGGCGTGTTGGTTCAGAGGAATTCGATATTTGTTCTCCCGGTACAGCTTTGTCATGGGATTCTCATTGATGTGCTGTGCAAGTGTAATAGTACCAAGCGTCTTGAGATCGTCTGCATGGACTGGCTGAAAGTTGGGACCAATATCCCTAAGAAAGGCTTTGGCATCTTCAGTATAGGCATGGGTGATGAGCTCCAGAAAGGAGTAGACAAAGACTGGCCAAAGCAATTTGGACAGTTCAAACTAGGGTTGTTAGCAAAGCAGGAGCCGAAGAAAGACCCTGACTTACCTTGTAGATGTCCAGGTTATTCTCTACCCATTCGCGAAGGAGACCAAAAGCTTTTTGATACTTCTTTGGTCCGAGGTTAGCCAGTTGATAGATTGGCTTACCATCGGGGCCGAGATGCTTTGATTCTTGACGAAAGACTTCTTCTGTGCGATTGAAGCCTCGCTTGAGTAGATAATCTGTTACCTGTTCACGAACACCAGTCAGTCTTAAGCTCGGAAGGGAGTCCATAGTTACTCGGCACGTGTTCAGGAAAGATAATACAAGAAACCGTCAAGATTAAAACGAACAGCTAACAAGGTATTTCGGTAGGGATTAACGAAAATGAAAGGGCATGACTTCATCAAAGAGTTGATGTTTGATGTGTGTATTAAGCAAACGTGACTGTGAGGAGGCTACACGAGGAGCCGATTCAATGTAGTTTGGGTAAATCAGTTCACCAAACTTTTTTTTGTTACTGATTTAGTAGGTTGCCTTCTCAGGCATGAGGTAGATGTCATTGTGCAGCTGCTTGGCAGTGATAGAGACTGACAGTGGGCAGATCGGCCAACACGCAATTACTGCATAGACAAGTGACGAATAAGAAATTTAAAGGACTTACTATTTGATTAAGATTCTGGTTTGACATTGGCCCTGTACCTGTGCCTGCTTGTCCTGTTGTGGTTGAACCTGTGTGCGTGGGAGCTGGAGGAGTGGCTGCAGGGCCTTGATATGCGCCCGGCGCAGGGGCACCCGGTGTTTGCGATGGAGCAGACATGATGAAAAGAGGCAGAGGCAGTCGGTATCAAGGCTGCCTAGTAGCGAGGCACTCAAATGCGCCTGTCCTTTGTGCACACTTGTGATGAAACAGCCTAGCCTTTCAAAGACTGATCATATCCTGATGATGAGGCTTTCGTGTTGGTGATGGCTGACTTTCCGTCAAATGTTGGTAAGATGAAACCACAGACTGTGGTTTGTATGCTGAGATATCGTCTGCTGAGGGTTTGGGAGGGCTGGATCAATTCGACGCAAAACTGATGATTTCAGTGAAAGAAGTCTGATAAGCGCTTAAAAATTGAGACGTATTCTGATAAGAATATCGAGTTATGCACCCTCGAAGTGTTACGAAAGGCAAGTGTGAACAGACTCAAGCGCGCCGGAGCTTGTGAGAGCGCGACTGATTAGCCGAAGATTAAGCGAGCAGATATCATGAGAAGTTCAAACCAATTGAATAAGTTATCTTCCAGCAATTCCTTGATTGAATCAAGAAAATTATTAGTCAGCCTGTTAAAAATTGATCTCAAGTTCGTCTTAGTCAATCCGCTGAATTGAATGCGCTGTTAAAGCAGGAATATTGAGCCTGCCCCGCGAACCAGATCTGCCCAGGCATTGAGTGACAGTGGGCACGTACGTACATTAGTAGGTCAATAGTACCTTGTTCAAACTCACATCAACCTCACATCAACAATTGCATACAAGCTTTGGACTTCTTATTTATCGACAATTGAATGAATAAACTCAACTTCCACACTTTTTGAAAGTCATTTTAAACTTGGAGCCAATATCACCACATACTTAAGCTACGCGCACGGCACCGCTCTTTTCTAGAGCCTTTCATCAGAGCAAACACTAAAATTCACATCAACATCATCGCACGTTTGCTTACAGTCCATCTTTCTATACACAAACATGTCTTCTCCAAACGACGTCGACATGGGAGGCGCCGAACCGTCACGCGCAAACGAGCCCTTCACCGTGGAAGAGAACATCCGACAGCTTAATGCCGTCGATCAACAAATTGTCCAGCTCATGAAGCACACTGCCACAGCCCTCAACGCACTCACAATACCTCACACTCCAGAGTCCAACCAAACCCAGGACCCAGCATCTGAACCTCCTAAACCATCACTGGATCCTCCCGCCCAAAAGGATGCTTTCCGCTCAGCGACAGATTCGTTTCTTACTGCACTACACGCCGTCGACGTCAAGATGAAGCGTCAAATATTCGCTCTCGAGGAGGCTAGTATCGTCAATCTTGCTCCCCCTCAACGGCATGAAAACAACGGGCCTATTATGGCATCTCAGAAGCCGAATGGAGTGGGAGCTGTGGGCAATATTGGCGCGGGCTGGCTCAACAGTCGAGGCACGCGAGTGGAGAGGGACATGGAGGCGGAGCTTTGGGACAAAGCTAAGGGTTTTTTGAAGAAGAATGAACCTGCTCAATAGAATTCGGCTTGTGAGTTGTGGCTGTCAAACGTCATTTGGACAGAGAAACACATGCCTTGGGACCGTGAGGACTTCAAGGCATGGTCTTCGAATATACATATGGCTGGTGACACATGATTCACCCTACATTATTCATCCAGGGAATCATATGGCGTGTGAAATAATAACAAGGGAATGAACAGAATTGGGTATTCTAGACACTGAGGAGACTGGATGAAAACTGGAGTAAGCTATTCGCTCTCTATATTCGAGCAACGGACTGTCATACCTACAGAAAACTTGATCCTTATGATGATAAACGATTACCTTAATTATTCTAGTCGCGATAACATATTAGTCTTGCCTTGCACATTTTCTAATTACCTAGACACCTGACGACCCCCATCCACTCACCCCATTATTAGGTTGTTTGTCATAACCATCTCTCTTAACGACCTGGATACGTATACCAGTGTTGATTCGCGGGCTCTAGGAAGTCAATAAGTCCTGGATTGATTGTCCTCCGGCCGGGTCCTTGATGGGATGGGCAGTGATTTCCTGATGAAAGCTGGCAGCAGACTTTCCTGCAAGCCAACCTATTATAATAGCCTCCCTCAATCGCGATTCCAGTTGTCTTTTAGTGAAGTAATCAATCAATAAAAAGGTTTAAATAAATGGCCTGCGAGAGATTTAAAGGAAAATGCTGAAGGAAGAACATTATCTACAGACAGGATATGCTCCTGAGAATGTTGATATCAGCCAGCGTCTGGTCTTGTAGAAATAAGACAGCATACGTTCTTGTCGTGTATGTACAGTACAGTCCAACATAAAATAAACTACGTTTCAGGTGCCGGCCCAACAGGTAGGTACTGTAACACAGCATCATTACGATGAAGTGATCGGTATTAGTGGGTTAAAGCTAAACCCAATAAGTTCCGCAATAGCTGCTGCCGTCTGATATTAGCATTGCCTGCCAGTTGCTGGGATGCGGATTTCGTTTCATGACAAAGGGGTCAACAATCATGTCTTGTATACTATTGTCTATGGAAGATAGTGGATATGCGCTGGCTGGGCCTTTTAACCATTTTCAACTTTGTACTGCCACAACAACTCTTGGCTTTTGAAATGACCAGTAAATACAGTTCAAGCCGTCAAGGCTAAGAAAAGTCAAGACCAACTAGCAAATCCTGCTGAGACTCTTATAGACTAACCCTTGTCGTTTACAAGATATGGCATTCTTGGGTTCTTGGATCCGGATATATCGGACCCAAAAAAAAAAACGCACGTTGCTTCCATCTATTAGTGGACTATCCGTACAAAGCTCCGGAGCCCCCACAAGTCGTCCAAGGATTTAACAGACAAGGATCAAGCCTCATGCTGCAGATAACCAATCACTGTGGCTGTCAAGGTCATGCTAGAGCTGCCGAAAGCTCCGGAATGACGCTGTCAGTCGATGGACCCCCCTGGGGCTTCATGTTTTATGGAGGACCAAGAGGACCCAGAGGTAAAGCGACACAAGGAAACAGCAAACTTTGGGGTTTCCCGATTTCCGTCCTCATCTTTTTTAGACTTCTTAACCTTCTTTCTTTTCGTCTTTGCTTTCTCTAGAGGAGGCTTTATTCTACTGTCTTCAACACGCGCAGTCATTTACTTGCTCTGCCGCTGAAAGTCAACATCAACTCGCTTATCGACGCCAATGTTTACTGCTTGCAATCGAATCATTACGCCGCTAAATCATCCGTGACGATCCCCCACTGACCCGGCCGCGATTGTTGCGACAGAAAGGACGGAACAACCTCACTGAAAGTTTTCAGCAATATCGATTGCAGTACATACAAAGAAATTGAATACGAAAAGACCATGATTGGCGCTTATAGAACAAAGGCCCTCGCGGCGCCTTTGATATCTAGCATCACGATAATTGCACTTCTTGCTCCAGTTACGCAAGCCCACGAACACGATACAGGTCAAATTCCCGAAGGCGAAACTATTTCCCTAGAGCCACTGGTGCGTTTGAAAGTACACAAGACTTGGAGCATTACCTGATGAGTAATAGGATACGATATTATGGATTCACATATTAATCCAAATGCTGGCTTACGGCGTTATCTTCCCAGTTGGTATGGTTTTGGGTGTAAGTAATTGCTTGGTGCAGACTCCAAACACAACACTGACAACTCCCAGATGACCAAGAATCGATGGCATGTCCCAACCCAAGCTGTAGGCACGATCCTCGCTATTCTTGGCTTTTTCCTCGGCCACGCGCATAAGGGCCGCCAGTTCATCCCCAACCATGTTCATGGAAAGTTCGCACACATTCTTCAGCTTACCCTCGCTGCGCAAGTCATTCTTGGGTTGTACCTCAAGGGTCATTGGGAGAAGGGTATCAATGGCAAGATCAGAAAGTTAATTCGTCCATTCCATTCCATTATTGGAAAGCTGATGCCAATAATGGCCTGGACACAAATGATCTTTGGTGGTATTACTGCCCTCGGCTTTTGTCAAGGAGATCACACCGGCCAATGCGCCGCTCATTTCATCATGGGGGGCGCATTCATCGCTTACGGTATTCTTCTCACAATCCTCTTGGTTGTTGGTCAGCTTTGGATTCGCCGAAACGGCCGGTCTCAAGAGTTTTACGATAGCGCAACAATTGCCGCATGGGGTTGTATCAACACCTTTACCGAGCACCGCTGGGGCACCGACTGGGTCAAGAATGACTGGCAGCATACCACAATGGGTGTTATATGGTGGTCGGCTGGTCTGGTAGGTATCTGGCTCAGCAAGGACCGCGATGGAAACCCAAAGCGCAACTTTATTCCCGCTTTTGTCATCTTTATTACTGGATGGGGTATGTCTGCTCATCCCCAGGAGCTCATGGTTAGTGCTGCCACGCACACCATGTTCGGATACACTCTTATGGGAGTCGGTATCACTCGAGTTATCGAAATTGCTTTTGTCCTGAGAGATGCGCACTCCATCTCAGAAGACGGCCGATCAGCCAATAGCTTCCAGTTTATTCCCTGTTTCGTAAGTTCCAACTTGTATTCCGATGACTTGACACTAACGTTAGTAGCTCATGTATGCCGCCGGCTTCCTTTTCATGGGCGCTACAGAAGAGCAGATGAAGCTCGTTGCCGGTTCCTCTATGGATCACATTTCGTACATCCTCATCACCTACTCGCTTGCGTCTCTGATGTTTTTGTTCGTCAACATTCTCATTGGCCTCTGGGATCGTCTTGCCCACCCCGTCTTAGACACAAAGGAGCTCGGTGCCAACCACTACGCCAATGGTTTAACAGTTGAGAACGGCCAATTACGAGATGCCCAGGAGTTTGAATTGCATGGATTAATGAGCGATGATGATGATGATCCCAGTCGACAAATGCTCAACCCTGGCAATGCGTGAACGGCAGCAAGGAATTGATGGGTCCTCGGTGCAAGGGCACATAAAGATTGAAAGTGTTGTTGTTCGAAGACGATAATTATCTTATTACAGGAGGCGACGATTCATGGTTAGGCTCGTCGTTGAGATGGGAAGCTGATATTTTCTCAAGACATACATTACACATATTTTAGGCGCGATGCAGTTACATGATACACACCAAATACATATAGTAGTCAACAGATGGATATTAGATATGGATTCAATACGTTTGATTTGAGACCTGATGTTCTATTTCCAACAGATCTACGATGACAGTCCAGGGTACTTCTTATCTTATCTCTCCCTGAGCGTTCTGGAATATGCAGGACAGCCGCTCCCCACAGCGGGGCACAGCTTAGCGTAATTCCTCACCGAGAGTTCACCGAGATTTTTGACCCCAGAGTAAAAAAAAGTTTGGAGCCAAGCTGAGCTGTGATTGCAAACTCCAACACAACCACCCAAAATCACATTCCATCACAATGCCTTCAGTCGGAAACCCCAACGGCCCCTCCAAGAACCGCCTTGCGGCCCGCGCCTCAAAGGCCCGAAAGGACCGACGCAAGAAGGCCGAAGCTCCCAAGGACAAGGTCGCAAAGGCCGACACAACACGAGGCGCGCGAAAGGGTCTCATGCCCACAAGCGGACCCAGAGCAAAGATGAGTGCCAAGAAGGTGCGCAAGGTCGAGAAGGCAATGGCGCATGCTTTGAAGCGAAAGATGGAGGCCGAGGGAGAGGCGGAGATGAAGGGTGAGTTTGGGCAGAAATCGAGATCTTTGTGTGCTTATACTGATTTGTTGCAGATGCCCCCGAGGTTCAAACCGAGGAGAAGACCGAAGAGGCGGAGATGGCTGATATCCAGTGAGGGGTGCGTGATGGCGAAAAAAAAAAATAGACAAAAACGACCGAGCGGACGGACGGATTCACGACAAGCGCCAAGTCGGAAGTTAGCCAGCGATGCGATTATTGAATAACCCGCCCATGATAGCGGCAGAGAGGAAACGTCGTGTCGAAAGATATTTACGTGGTACAAGCACTTGAGAAAGCTGGTATTGAACATTAGCAGGATTGAAGGAGCAATATTCTAGTGTACCACTCCACATTAGAGTCGCAAAGGCGCATATTGAGGGAAACAATCTCCAGACATTCCCGATAGTAATGAATATGACGATCTGTTTTCGATCTTGGTCTATTTGTTTATAGTCACTGGCCGTATATGGTGTAGATGTTGTCAACCAGATGTCCTGATCTCCTTGCGAATGAATCTTGGTGCTTGACGAAGGAGTATTCGGTCGATTTATATATGCATCAGGTGGCCCAGCCCGCCTTTGGGTTAATGTATACACCCAAGCGGCATCTTGGAGTGGTTATGCCATGATAGAGAGCCCCAGTGCTGCCTTTGTTCCGACTCGATAGATGTGTTAACTTAAGCCCATCTCTTTGGCTTTTTGGTCTTGTTTCTCCTGGAGGTGGACTTGCGCTTCGGTCTTTTAGGGGGCTTTTCGGGTGGTCCTGATTAGTTAGCCAAGGCGATATACTCGCAGCTGTCGATCTACCTACCAGGGACAACATTGTCTATCCATTCCAAGATTGTCTCTGTGGTCGTCGCGGATCTCGTAGTGGCGGTGGCCCAAGAAGATAAGCCAAAGCGAGAGCCAGCCACGTAGAGTCGCTTTTTAAGGGTCTTCTCGCAACCAAAGATCCTGCCTATGCTTACTGCTATGGCCCACAGTGTTGAGATGAGAAAGTTGCGGAACCAAATCGCGATGTCCATATTTGGCATGGATGTGAAGTACAGATAGATGCTGGTTTCTGCGGGATACGGCGAGAACCAAGCGAGCTTGAAATCGAAAACCGAACAAGGTTTGTAGACATCGAGGAGCCAAGAAACTGTGTTTGATATCGATGGAAATATGGTTCGTTGTAATTTTGCGTTTCGATGAGGGCGTTAATAAGCCTATTATCGCTTCCTTGGTGTGCATTGTCAACCCTTCTTCCATGGAGACATTTTGAACTGTGACCATAGGCCCCCCTCATGGTATCAGAGCAATTGGCCGACAGGAACATAAGAGATGAAATTCGTAGGTCAGCTTATGATATCTATATCAGGCTTCTTAGGATGTTTATCTTTGTCCCCTAAAGCTTAGAGGCCATCTTTTCTACTACCCACTAGGCCCCGTATGTCACTTTGAGCTGTCGAAGTTGGCATTAAGGTTATTTATTCCAAATAAATACAGACAAACCTAATCTACTCACCTATATGGCTTCAAATCAGGTTGTTTGTTTAAATGCGGTCGAGTTGTTGATCAGAGTGGGCTACCTCCTCGCGCGGTTTACATATGCTTGTTAGAGGGGCTGTTTAACCAATTGAAAGGCCGTAAGATGAAGTATTGTATGTGAATCTCAGTTGAAACTACGATGTTTCTAGAAAGAGCAATATGATAATTATCAAGGCATGTCTGGTAACCCTGCTAGCCTGACAAAGGGGACAAACCGATAGTGACAAACATCCTTGGTTAAGTAAGGTTTGTTGGACATCACATGTTACTGATTGATATCGAAAGTCTACTTTAGTATGTAGACAAAAGGTCATCCGATACGTGTCGCATCAATCTGCCGGTACCCATTTGAGAGGCAGTGATTCACCCCTTTTAAAATTCCTTCCCCGCTTCTTCTTCCTACTTCAACTCAGCAACGCAACTCAACCAGCTATCTATTTTTTCTTCTTTCTTACCTCCCATTGTCAACCTTCTTTCAATGACTACAAGTCTTCAGAAGGAGCAACGAAAACCCTGCCGCAGATGAAATGCATCGCACCGATGACACAGTTGAGCCAGGGCCTTCCGGCTTTGGTCTTCAAGACATTATCACCATCGACTCTGACAGCGTTGAACCCGACATTTCTTCTTGTATTCCTTCAACTGGCACTCTTGGTAAGTCGACAGACAAATCTATCTTCCTTCATCCCCATCCCTAACATGAAGATAGATGGAATCGATCTCGCCGCTAGGGTCAAAGAGTTTAGTGAAAGGCATCTCAACAGTCTCCCTCTCAACCTTATGGCCGCTGATTTCAAGAACTACTACTTCTACAAGTCAAACCAGCGCCTTGAAGAAACCAAAGCGAGTGGTGTCGATCTTGATGATATTGCTGTCGGCGATGATTGTCTTCTAACTTGGTGTGGACGCACTTGGGACCCTGCCGCAGAATCTCTGCACGACATCATCCAGTCTCGCCTCGCCACAAGAGATGAAGCTCAACAAGCCGGAAATTTGGTGCGTGAGGATATCATCTGGAAGACAGGCGTGAAGCTGTACGAGGCCAGTGTTCAGGGTATCCCACTAAAGGATATTTACATCGGCTTGAATCTGTTGCCTGTCTAGGGTATGGCAGCAGAGGATGCGATTCGATATCTGCATCACAGGGATGAGGATGAGCTGCATACTCCAGATGACGACGAAAATTGTACCTTACTTTCCAGCGATCTTGAGGCTGAACAGCCATACGGCACTGGAGTAGGATCGCTATCCCAAAGCACGACCCTGATGTCGTCCGATGATTCCACCTCCTTAAGCTTTGTTTCTTTCTCTTTCTCCGACCGCGATAGTGGCATCGACAGTGAGTCTGATCCCGACATTGGTCCTGATGATGTTGACGACTTTGACGACACGTTCTCGGTCGACAACATGTTTGATCCCGAGCCACTTTACCCCGATTCAGACGACGAAGAGCTGAACATCTTCCACGGCGCCCGTGTCGTGGGTGTTCAGTCTCAATATGCAAATGTTGATCTCGAAATCTATGAGGCATCCGATGAAGATGACGTCGAAGACCTACCAGAGATGGAGCTTTGTATTGACGGACAGCTCTATGAAGAGCTATTCGACATTGAGGAGGTAGTTGGGGCCGAGATTGAAGGGAGTCGTATCATATGTACGGGAGAACTCTTCGAGGAAGGAGATGAGATAATTGTGGATGATCCGAAGGATGAAGTTGCAGATTCTGGGTATCAACAAGACGAAGACGGCTCAGCTCTTGAGTCTCCCGAAGAGATCCCTGAAGGTCAGATGTTTCGGCAGCGATTCGGCACTGGGGATGAAGCCATTAGTGGTTCTCTTTCCAAGTTTTGGGAGAGCCTTGACGGGGAACAAGCTACTCAACGCGAAAACTCCGACAGCATTTTCCGAGATACTGAGGATGGATTTATGTGGTGATTTGGAGGATATTTGTGATACTCTGGGCTCTTCATTATCTAGACACCGGCGTAGCTGCTATCTATAAGTAAAGTGCGGATAAACATAGTCGTGATCCTTTCATCCAGTACCGATTAACAGTCCCTTCCAAATCTCCGTACATTATCTTTCAATACTTGGCCGGATTCCTCATATCATCAGATTCATCGACTTCCATAGGCACATCAAGACGAAACTCGTCTTGCACATACTGAGCCAAGTTTTCCATCTGTCTAGACGAAGTAGGGGAAGACAGAGATGAAGAAGAGGCGTTAGATACCTGAGCAGCAAGTGGAGCAAGCAGACCTGATTGAGGGCCACTCGGACTCTTCGGTCCAAACACTTCTCCTTCCAGCTTCGTAACGCGCTCCTTCAACTGCTGGTTTTCCTTCTCGAGCTCCACGATGCGCTTCTCATTGCGCGAATTGGCACCAGATGATCGCCGAATTCGAATCTTTCCCGGGGCACGGGTGGCAGGACTGTTCTCAGAAATACCAGCTGGGCGTCGCACGAGGTTAAGGCCTCGACCAGCAGAGGGGCTTCCGGGGGTTACATGAATAGTCGAGCCATCCATCTCGATAGGCGTAAGGGGAGAGTCGATTGAATAGTGCTTGATACGACGCGGGGTGGCGGTGATTTCGCCAGCCTTCAAGTGACTAGTGCATCGAGCATGCTGCCGGGCGAAGCCAACATAAGCAAAGCGATGGCCATAACGCTTACAGGCATTCTTTGTACAAACCCAGGCGGCTAGTTCCTCCGAGTACGCCACGCCATCAAGCTCTTCTTCGGACTCACCATCAGAGCTCTCCTCTTCAGCCATGACGTGGATCTCGCTCGAGAAGTGCCGCTTCGCGTTGTAGAGAATGCGATAAGTAGTCCCGAGTTTTTTGCAACCTGGTCTGACGCAAAGCCAACCACTGTCTTTGGAAAACTCCATTCCATCCAGCTCCTCATGGGTGTCATCGGAAGAGTTGACCTCGTCCGCCGCGTTGAGGTGCGCAGCTGAATTGAAGTGCATCCTGACGTTGGCCATGTTGCTCATGATCTTCTGGTAGCCTTTGCATCCTTGCTTGGCACACTTCCAGAGGCCTTCATCTTCGGTAACTTCCATGCCATAGACATCGCTCGTCTTCCAAATCTCATCACCAGACTCTTCGGCGTCTGTTGAGGCTAGATCCTCTTCTGTCAGGGAATGATCAAAAGATCTGCTGTGCTGCTTCATAGCCGTGAACGAGTCAAACTTCATACCAACCCGGGGGCATTTGTTGTTGACACACATTCCCTTTCGACCGTCAACGTAAAAAGAAATTCCAGGCAAGGGCTCGTTGTCGCTGTTGTACTCGAAACTATCTTCCTGGAATTTGATATCCCACCCGTTACGATGATCCTCCTCCTGGAGGTGACGGTAAAATCCCCTGGCATTCTTGAAAGTCTTTCCGAACAGCAAACAGTCAGACCAGTTACATCGTAAGGCACGTATGGCTTCCTGCTCAGCCCCAACCTCGTCAGCAGGAGTGTTGGCTAAAAGAACCTGGCTCAGTCTGCTCGCAATCTGGTGGGTGCCAGTGTCTTCGTGGCGGTTGAACTTGGACTTGTACCTGTAATCCGTGCCATAGCGATAGCAGCAGGGCTCATTACAAATGTTTCCGTTGGAAGAAGCAATTTGAACAGACGGGCCAAAAATGTCGTCTTCAGTATCCTGGGTAGCGGAGTTGGTCGAGGGCGAGAAAGCAGACGTGGCATTCTTAGCCTCATCGCTTCCTTCACCACATCCGTGACTCGACGAGTCCCGAAGATGCTCGAGATAAAGAGCACTGGTAGCAAACTTCTCCCTGAACTTCTCACACTCATCGTCGCGGCATTCCCACTCGACTTGATGACCGCTCGCACGTCCATGTCTGTCAAGGGCAGGAGCAGCTGCGAAGCTGTGACCACACTCGCCGCAAATGTAAGGACCCTTGTGCCAGTTGTACTCGTGCTTCTAGCACTCATCGGCGGAAGCGAACACGAAGCCGTCGCAGCCTACATAGGGGCAGGTGAGAGTTTTGTTTTCGGGGGAGTTTGGGCAGTCCAAGGAGGTATAGCCCTCGGGCGGATCATAGGTTTCTTCCATAGGCTCCATAATGGATGAAGTGAGTAGCAATGTTGTGACCCGAGCTTGCGTGATGTAGGTACCCTGGAAGCCTGTCCTTCGATCAGTATGCACCGAAAAGAGGGCTTTTAATGAGTAAATACCTTTGGATAAAGCTTCAAAAGGAAGGCAATAATTTTTGTGTTCAAAAAAGACGTTATAGCGAGTACCGTTCAGCCAGATAGATGGAGAGCTGAAAGGGTGAAGCTCAAGTTGGGCAGCTCACGATGTCCACTTCTCAAAATTGAGAATTGGGGGCACAAAAGAGGGGTTAGATACCAAAAATGAGAACAGACGTTAAGCTGTACTCGAGAAGAGATTATAGGACCAAAGAGACGAGACACTGGAGCGTTTGGGTGAGTTGGAAGTGATAATTTGTAAACAATGCAACAAAATATCTGAGCAAAGTCCGTTTACCCAAAATGCACTATGTTGCCGGGTAACTGGATCTTTATCACTGCCATTCATTGACAGTGATTAGCCCGCCATAAGATAAAAAGTAGCCTGGAATATAGAAGGGCTATGGTCGTCTGCGTATTCTAGGCCAGCTGGTAGCATATGGAATTTCACGATAAATATATATACTATTTCCCACTAACTCGTCTTTGTCCCTTACTTCTACTTATTGCCAACTAAGTCTTTTAGCAGGTTATAGCTATCGGAGACTGAGAGAATAACAGAGAGCTCAGCATTATGGCATATATTATGATCTATATAAGAAAACGAAGTGAATATAAAGGAGGTTAATGAAGGGTCTCTCTGTATAAGTCTCGCTCTCCGCTGTAGGCAACATGGTGGTTGTTTGCGTTCACCATCTTTATCGAAGCACAAATAGCCGATTTCCGGTATGGTGTAGTGGCTAACATTTCGCGCTCTCATAACCTGAGAGATCAGTACCGCGGAGCCCAGGGTTCGATTCCCTGTACCGGAGTTTCTCTTTTGCTGTTTGTGCTGCATGTCTGAGGATCTTTTTGTTAGTAGACAACGATGAACTTCTGTGTATCGGGCGCATCAATATTGAGGCGCTGTCTTTTTCTTCGTCAAAATAACTCCAATGGGCATTGGAACTGGCGAACCCCTTATCATACATCCGCCCCTATGCGACTACACTTCTTCGTCTTGCTTCATTAACACGTCCATTATGGGAGAATCAAGTTGAGCCTTTACGAGAACGGGTGAACGGATCCGAGAATCCGGAAAATAACAACAAACGTCATGATCAATTCGTCTCCGTGAAACTGAACTGAGCTAACATACAAAATAGCCCTTAACCGCCATGCTTCCTCCTCAAATGCCGCGTCAAATGATCGCGCCTCGCAAAGTCTTGACCAAAATGTATGCATATAGGTCTAGACATACTAAGCCCCATCTTGGCAGCTTCATCGGGGTGTTGAGTGCAGTAGTGTCTTTCCAGGTCACGCCTCCATTGATGGCCCTTTTGGCAGATACGGCACTTCTCCGGTTTGTCCTCTTTTCGCTTCTGTCTTCTGCGATGACTGTTAGAACAAGGAGATATTCAGAATATAGAATTTGTAGTAACCAAATTTAGTCACATAGCCGTGTGCCATGCTTCATCTTTGCTCTTCCACTCAGAGTGTTTGGTACGCCTACTGGCCGCCCAGGGGTATTCTGTGTTGGTAGCACCTCATGCATTCGCGGGCTCAACATACCCAGCGAGACTTGAGTCATTGGTCTCGGCAGCACCACTGAGGACAGGCACATCATTCCGCCCATACTGTCAGGGACAATATGGGCAAAAGGTTGAGCTTGCCCCCAGTGGTGCTGATAAACTAGTGAAACGGGATTGAAGAGAAGAGAGAAAATAGCACAGGTGAGAGAGCGCAAGAATGAATATTTATATTGATGGTCAAGCTACATCCGCAGTGTTCATCCTATCAAGTTCTATTGGTGGGTTTGGAGGCCTATGCAGTCTGAAGGGTTGTGTCATTTGATGGTAAGCCTCCCAGAATGAAGTAGACGTTCTTATCTCTCCAGTTTTACCGGCATTCAAAGCAGACAAATGGTCTGACATGGCAAGTTAAACATAATGGTCGTGTCTATCCTTTGTATCTTCTAATGTGATTATAGAAGAAGCGGTTGATAATAGACGAACCTTTTCATTTAGGTGTAAGACTATCTATATGTTTAGACATATTGTATAAGAGATATGTGAAGAATGATCTACATCGAAACCCAATCCATTTACCCAAGGGCTGACTTGAGAACATACAACCGAGAATATGAGGGCATCCATCTCACTCCCTAATTTGCATGACACCCGGAAATTTTCATGTTATGTTTTGTCTTTCTCCAATGTAAAGAACCTCCCAGAACTGTTCATATGTCCCGTCTGCAGTTTCGAATGTAGTCTTATGAGACCTTTTTATGATGTGCATCGATATCCTCAGCGTTGATGATCGATACTGAGTCACTTTCACTAGTGCTTCTTTTTGGACAGGGATTTCGAGATATGAGGCAACAGTCTTCGCTGCGAACTCACGTTCGGCAGTAATAAGCCCACTGGCACAGGCCAATGCCTTAAACTGGTCCCAGTCAGACGTCCAGACGTAAGGTACCTCTGGTTCAACTTCACTAGAATCTTGAGGGCCATTGCCGCCTAGTACTTGGGTTGGACCAGGTATTAACATAACCTGATGGCGACATCTTTCCGAGGATCTGGGTCTTCAGACAAGTGGCGAGTTGTGTGCGTGTCGCTGGTGCTATCTTGTCGAGAGCCCAGTATAATGTATTTGCAACTGCTGTATTGCACCTGCTGGTATCTCATTCTTGACACTCTAGCCAAGATCTCCAGCTCAAAAGTTCATCCGAAGCTGCCATCAATACACCACTGAGAGCTGCGTACGAGCGTTAAAGGTATGACGCCTATATGTTCAGCCTCTGTGCTTTGAGACTTGTCCCTCAAAATTCTGATGCGCATGGACTCGTAACCCATGAGCTTCCCAAGCGCACTGGACCTGCAAGGAGTGAAACCCTCGCAGCAAACTTCTAGAAGTTGGAGATCTGGGTCTACCCAGCCGCTTTAGGGTCTATTGCCATGCCAAGAAGTATCAATGACAATTAGTTCACTGATAGCCACTTGATAGGCAATAGGGAGGTCATCGACCCGAGATGAGATGACGCTTCTTCTTCGTCCTTGCTAGCTCTTTGTTGGAGAAGAGAAAGATGGAAACAACACCTCCAACTTCAAACCGTCTTCGAAGCCAAAGTACTCTCGGATAGTCTGCATTTGATTCCATTTCTGTGCTTTACCAGAAATTGATCTTCGGAGTTTTGCCTACCGCTCGCTGTGAGAAGGCATGAATGTTTCTCATGAAGCCTTTTCTCTCCCGGCGGCGCCAATTATTGAGGCACCAGCTGAGAAAGACACCGATAATTAATGCTGGCATGAGATATTTGCCTGCTATGCGATGCATTATTTGGCCAAATAGTGTGTTTTCCGCTCATATTCGTGGGACACCTTTACGACAAACTTGCACCCGAAACTGTACACAGCGTGTGCTTGAGCCAGAATACCACAAGAAGTTGTATTCCATGTGAATACAGCATCAGCCAGGACAGGTGACGAAGGCAGGGAATTGCTTCTTCTTCTTTCCCTGCAACCTCGGACGTAAAGATAGCATTTGAGGAAGAGGATAATGCCCAGAAAAGCCTTTTGGGAGCATACTCCTTGTCGATGCCCCTTTCATGGGATGCAAAGTCATAGTCCCAATAAAACTTGACAGAAGTCCAGTGATAGGATGTGCAGTAGGAAACAACGATTGGGGGAGAATTGCGTGAAGATTTGAGATTTGAGATTCGAGGTTCAGATCAGGGTAGAGAATGAGTGTAATATGACCATTCTTTCCTTCAGATTTGTTTAATTATTACAGTACCAGTCTTTCTACAGATTCCGTAATTGACTCTATCATAGACAGCAATCGACAATTGTGTGGCTGGAGAAACATGGCGGCGACGGGATACTGTAGCAAGGAGAGGAAGCCGAATGCATGACGGGCGCGGTGTGACATCTCTTGCGCATGCTCCCGTTTAAGCTATGTACAGTATCCGTTTGTCTTTGGCAATGTGAAATTGCTATCTCTTTACTGGCCTTCGGACGCGGCATAATGCATCGTCGCCGGGATCACTTCCAGCTTCTTCACCGTCATCGTCAAAAGACAATACGGCTATTGACCTCATGCATTAGGGGAGTATCGTTATTAATGACTTCATGGAGATCTCTCGCTTGGAAGGAATGCATTGTCACTTACTGCAAAGACCCGCGATGCCTCAGTGTGTTGTTGTCTCTGCATTGACCCGACCTCAAGGATAAACAACGTACACGAAACATACAAAACAATCCACATCATCACAATAGATTGCTTCCCCACGATATCTGCCCCGTTTCATATACCGTAACTGACGTGTCTAATCAGATAGGCGTCTCCTCTTGCCACCTCACTAAACCTCCACTGGTAATCCAGACAACAATCCCGAGCAAATCGGTTAGATAGTGTCCCCGTGATACCCCAGATTCGTGCTTCCGATGATCTAGGCAATATTCCTTCCATTACACGTCTACACCGCGGCTCATCGTCCCAAACGAGATACGCTCCCGTGAAGCGGAGGCAAAAAAGTAGAGTCCCGTATGCGAATGACACTTTGCGTTTCTGAGTGATTACACGTACGAGCAAATGTCCGGCATGTCCACACGCACAATGAAATCAGAATGTATGTACGTGTGCTTGTATCTCGGTCCGGCATGTGCTACGTAGGTACACAGGTGACCGACCACAGGTGAGTGGTGTTTGGGTGCGGGCCTTGGTTACTTTCACGATGCCAACGTTAACCGAGTCAAATTTATGGGCGTGGCCTATCATATTGGCTTCCGTTCAATCCGGGGCAACTCTCAGCTTAGTCGGTCAGTATCCATTAGAACATTCGCAGCGCAAGAAGATTTGTCGTCAGCTTATGCTTGTATGCAGTCAAGGTCGCCACTGAGATATCGTGCTGATTTGGCAAGGGCTGGGCTAAATAGCATCAAGAAGATAGCAGGGATTGAATGTTGCAAACATCAGTAAACGAGTACAGTTCATATCACAATTGAACAGGAAAAGTAAAATGGGAGGCGAATTAGCTTTCATTTCTAATGAAGCCAGGCCATGTCAAAGGCCTGCCTCCTATCTCTATATGATATTGATATAACCTCTCGTCATCCGAGTAGATAAGAAACCCGAGCGAGTGTGGTATCCCCAACGCCAATGATGTTATGGAAAATAGAAAACTGGAAAAACAGATAGAGCCGCCCAAAGATCCTTGCCAATGCCATGATTGCTGCGCTCCCTACAGCGTAAAATGAGTGGCTCTGGGGTCACAAGAACACAGAGTGACAAAGCCAAGAAAACACGTCTATCATGCAAACTTGTCTCTCCACAGCGATCCAAGGCCCTTCCAGATGCCAGAGAGCTTAACTCATCAAATGGTGGTGAAAAACAAACAACCACTGCCCCTTCGCGCCAATCATCCCGCATCCCAATCGCCTGTCTGCGATCGAGGTAAATTTCGTATTTCGTAAGACATGTTTCGTGTCGTTAAAGCATGAAAACAAGGTAAATGACAGAAATATCAATGCCGAGGCTAAGATGGAAATGGAAACCCAGGTGCTGGAATACACGCGTTCAAACGCCGTCAAATGATGTCGCGAGACAATGTGTGTGAAGGCTAGCGTCGCTGTCTAGGCAGCATAGGCTTCGCGGTAGGGCCCGTACTGGCTGAACTGCACGTCGCTGTAATTCGAGGTCTTGACTTTGGAGTATTGAACGCCTCCGTAGCCACCAGAGTAGCTAGTGTCGCGGGCAGGCATGGAAGGACGCTCACCGGCGCGGGCACCAGTGTGATCAGCGTAGTATCCGTAGGCATCGGTGGGTTCTGCGGAGCGCGAATAGGAGTTCTGGAGCGTTGTACGGCCACCATCAACTCGGTATTGCATCACATGTTCGCCACGCGCTTCGGGACCGTGCTTCTTGCTGCTGCGATGGGCCTTGCGCTCTCGTCGCTGACGCTCGTACTCATCCTCTGAATCACTTTCAGGGATTTGGGCCTGATGCCTGGTGCGGCCTCGACCACGGGGGTCAATCTCGGGGTAGGCACCGCTGAAAGTTTGAGCTCTGGCGATGCCTGGCGCGTAGCGACTGCTGTGGCCACCCTCAACGGGCATGGTAGATGTCCGGGGAAGGTCGCGTCGGGGAGGAGAGCCCGTAGGCACACCGGTTGCTGTAGCTGACTTGTACATGTGAGGGCGAGCAGTGGGAGGAGAAGCCTCAAGGGGATCATCAACGACCTCAGGCTTGCTGTAAACCTTCTCGCCAGCTGAGTTGCGCCTGGGCTTGGCGGATGATCGGCGAGCGTCGTCGTCTTCGGTAGGAGCGGCGAAGGGCGAGCCCACAGGAGGTGGAGTGGGTGCAGGAGGCTGCACATGTCGAGCGAAAGATGATGGAACCTTGCTTCGAGAAGCCTGGATGTAGTTCATGGCAGCATCGGCCTTGCTCAAATATTCATTCTGATACTGAGTAGGAATAGGAGGCGGGGGCATCGAGTTGGTAGCGGGAGGAACAACCTCCTCACGGTGCGTTGATCGATCTCGCTCGCGTTTCTCGTCGTGCTTCTTGCTCGACTTCTTCTTGTCGGACTTTGAGGCGGGCTCGTTGTCAAAGGTCTCGATGTAAGGTTTCGTCTTC